GAAATTATTTAGTCAAATAAGTATGCTTTTTGTTTTGGTCGAAAAGTCAAATAAGTATGCTATACTGTTCTTACGGATAATCATCGCTTTGCCTCTCGTCTAAGTTATCTTCAAATAAATGTAGCACCGCTTCTAATATATCCTTATGGACGTACGTATAAGATATTTAGCTACACAATTTATTTTTTTCGCTATATAGATCACTCTACACAAATACGATTTTTTTTTTATGAAATAGACCATTTTCTTTATACGTTAGTGGTTTTCGTTCCATGAAAATGGACGAAAAAAAAGAGTGATTCGACTTTGGTGAAGGAATTTAAAAATAAAAACACGAAAAAGAAATCTATACATGCAAACACAACGCCTAAAAGTAATTCTATTCGAATTCATTACACATTTACTCTAAATCAGTAATTGTCAAAATATTGGAAAATTTCAAACATTTTTCTGAATCTAATGTAGAATAATATTTGGTCCAAATTTGGAAGAAGAAAATGACAAGGTATGGACAAAACCAAACTTTTGGGGTCTGGTCCTTCCGATTCCTCATGTGCGGTTGTGTGCTTCTTGTCTTTTTTTTTTCACTCAATTATCTCTGGTTTAACCTTTGAAACAATTAAAACCTCACATAAATTTGTGTACTTTCGAGTTTTAAATGAAAATATTTGGGACCTTACACGTTTTGGTTTCGATATTTTAGAGGCTAGAGCTTTTTATTGGCTATCACTAGACTAGAGTTTGGACGATTGTTCATTGTTTGTTTTTCTGTTGAGTATCTTTTCTTATTTCGTTGTTAATCCATCATTCCATCGTAAATGCAAATGGTTAGTGCCTCGCAACCTGACTTTGTCAAACGTAAATATTTATTCTTTGCGTCTACGAATTAAAATATTTTACTTACAATTATATTTTTATTTTTTATAGAAAACATATTTATTAATTGGTTTACTTAATAAATAGGAGAGTCCACAGCTCTAGAAAGTTTGAAACGATTTTGTCGTGCTATTGTCGAGGTGTTCGGATGTCATTATCTTCGATCTCCTGACGCTAATGATGTTGCACGACTACTCCACATTGGTGAACGCCGAGGATTTCCAGGTATGTTGGGTAGTTTAGACTGTATGCATTGGAAATGAAAAAACTGCCCAACAGCTTGGGGAGGACAATATGCTCGCCGTAGTAGATTTCCTACTATTATTCTAGAGGTTGTAGCTAATTATGATCTGTGGATCTGGCATGCATATTTTGGTCTTCCAGGATCTAATGATGATATTAATGTGCTAGAGGCATCTCATTTTTTTGCTAATCTAGCTGAAGGTACTGCTCCACCCGCTAATTATGTTATCAATGGAAAAAATTATAATATGGGTTACTACCTAGCTGATGGTATATATCCAAAATGGTCCACTCTTGTTCAAACAATTCATGATCCACGTGGTCCCAAAAAGAAATTATTTGCAATGAAACAAGAAAGCTGTAGAAAAGATGTGGAACGTGCATTCGGAGTATTGCAGTCGAGGTTTGCAATCGTGGCGGGACCATCGCGCTTATGGAATAAAACAGTATTACATGATATAATGACGACATGTATCATAATGCATAATATGATCATAGAAGATGAGCGTGATATTAGTGCACCAATTGAAGAACGGGTTGAAGTTCCAAGTGCAGAAGTTGAGATGACGGGTGATGATGATGCTCGATTTCAAGAATTTTTAGCTCGACATAGGCAAATTAAAGACCGAGAAGCTCATATTGAACTTAGGAATGCGTTAATTGAACATTTGTGGTCGGAATATACTAATTCTCAGAATTAGTACAATGTAATTTATTTTTACTATTAGTATTGTCATAGTATTTTAATTTATGTAATATTTATGTGTTTATGTAATTTTATTTTCATTGTGTTACTTTATTTGTATTAAATTAGTTTAATCTAATATTTTGTTGTATAATATTTATTTTCAATACTATGTAATATTTTAATAATATCAATATATTAGTTTAATAATATAATAATAGAGAATATTATTTTTAGTGTGATATTTGGTGTTGTGGTTGGAGAAGGAAAAAGTTTTAGTGTGAAAACTACACCAAATATTGTGTTCTTTTAACACTAAAATGGTGCTATGGTTGGAGATGCCCTTACAATTATTGGTTTGTGTGTTTTGACTATTCTTTTCTGACTTTTTGAAAACCTATTTGATAAACTATTAATTAGTATTTTTTTTTTTGTCGCTTTGAAATTTTATTATAGAAACTTGTTGTGGAACCAGGGGAGGAATACATATGCCCAAACAAGGGAAACTTAAGTCGGCGGACAAACTAAAAGTCCCCGAAGACACTGCCGGAGAAAAAAAGAAATTTCCCGGAAACTAAGCCCTATCGAAGGGAAGCAAAGTAAAGCGAAACTAGAAATACAAAGAAGATAAAAACAAACCACAATCGAAGGAGGATGACTCCATAATCTAAAAGCAGAGGCAACAAGGTAGAAACCTTAGGAGAAAGGATAGAACCAAGAGAACAAAGAAACCTCTTCTTCTGAAACACCAGCGAATGCGATTTATCACGGCTGCCCACGGCCAAACCAGAAATAACATCTACCACCTCCTATCACGATGAGAGCCAATCTCTCGAGAACCAAGGACATCATAACCCGACAAGCAAAGAGCATTCATAGAAACTCATAGAACCTCAAAACACACTTCCGGATGCGACGACGACGACCAAAGCGTCACTTAACGTCTAGTTAGAATCCTACAAAAAGCGATCAGATCTAAACAGATCTCGAAAGCAAGTACAAGGAGCGAGGCACAACTTCTCAAAAACACCAATCTCGGAGCGAGAGCGACAAAGGCAAGAGACAGCTAACATACACCGCGAACACCAAGGAGAAGAAAGCTCTGTAAACTTTGAAGACTACCATAACATAACACTAAACACGAAACTTCTGCTTAGAAAGGAACCAGCCCAAAGGGAGCCAAAGGCTGAGCGAGAAAACAAAGGGAGCGAGGAAATGCAAAGGATGGGCAAACAAAACGCAACCCACAACCAAGCAACATTGACGGCTTATAAACGTTGAAAAGCACAAGCGCAGCAACAAGCCTTAGGGCAGAATCGAGCAAAGAAGAGACCTTAATCTCCAAGCCATACCGTAGATCAAACAAATCCGGAATTACTAACCACTTCTCTCAAAACACAAAACCCAAAAGAACTAACCGCATTGACCGCTTCCACAAACCCAAAATCAATCTCGAATCAAACCAAAAGACTCCCCAAACGACGGCCACAAAATCTGCACACAAAAACTAAAACAACAAACCCAACCTAGGGAAGACAGAGAACGACCAGGAAGTCAGCTTACCAACAAGGAGACACCAAGAACCCATGGCCACAGAACCGAGAACAACCACCAACGAGACCCTAGCCAAGGCAGAATCTGACAAAGGCAGAAAATTCATCTTCTGCAAACCGTTGGGGGAGGGAGAAGGACGCTCTTAAAGAGAAGAACATCGAACAAACCTCACTGTGAAGACCCATCTAACTCGCCAAGTAAACTATCTTCATAATCAACCACCGGACCTAGATTGAGGAGACAAGACTACTACAAAGAAGAAAAGAGCAACATGGACCCTCTCACGGCTACGGCGAGGAGCGCCGCTCACCGGAGAGGGCGATCTAAAATCTGAAGTTTGAGGCGGCGGCTAGGGTTTTTGTCGAGAGAGAATGTGTTTTTTTTTTTTCTTTTTTGGGCTGGATGTTTTTCTTCGATTCTACGTTAAAAAAAAACTAACCCAATATATAAAATATAAACGTTAAAATAAATAAATAATAAAAACATGAAGACTCATTATGTATCAAAAGAGAGACACTGTAAATCTTACTCAAGTTAATGGTCTTCAGTCATTTCAATAAGTCTTTTAAGATTTTCCAAGTCCTCTCACGTGTAGTGGTTTTATTCCGTTTCTAGGCTTTTCCTCTCCATCACAATTTTTTTTTTTTTTTTTTTTTAATCACAAAAATTTAAAGAACATGGATTTCAGTTTTTATACACCTATTTCTTTTATTTATTTTTTGGTAATTGTTATACACCTATTGTTATTCTAACTCATAATCCGGATCAATAAAATGAGAGTAAATAAAATTTACCAAGTATTTGCAAGTAGCTAGAAAATTTTATTTCAAAAGAAGTCAAAGAAGTACAACTTTTTTTTTAATCTCCGTTCTAATACATTTTTTAAACACCAATATCCCCGGTTGGTGGCGAGATTGACTCCACGCAGAGCTACTTACTTTTGAAAAACCAAATATATCTAAAGAGGCATTGGTGTGTATACTAATATGTGTTTTATAAACTAAAAACATTTACTTACAATTAATATCATTTTCTTTCATATCCATTATTCTGAACATTTGTTTAGTATAGTTGTAGTTTATATTTTTTTCGATGTGTCTATGTAAAAAATCTAAGGGAGAGAAATGAAAATGATGTAAAATAGAATTATATATAATTTTGCATTATTGTTATTATTGTAAGGCAAAAGGTCATTTTATACGTTCCTTAGATGACTCCTAGGATTAGCAAAGATTGATGTTAATTAATTTATTAGAATTCGCCGTTAGTTGATTAAGATTTATGTTTATGCTAGTGTATCGAAATCATGTTGATGTCTACGTCAAATTAGTTAATACATTTACACGTACAAACAAAACTACTTTACTTCGAGTCCAAATAACTATACCTTTTTAATACCAAAAAGTAGAGATTCGTTTTCACATATATTGTTATTTATGATGGGTATTGTTTTATCCTCTAAGATGCTATGTATATGGACAATGAATACAAATACAGCCATTGTTGAAAAGGCCATAAATGTTTGGATGTACCAAAATGCGAGCCTAATAAAATCGGTAGTTGGATGTCAATTAAGAACCATAAACCTAATCCATCTCTCTTCTCCATTATATATACACACACAACTTATCAAAGTTGTCCCATCTAACAAAACTCTTCTACTTAAGCATGGTGGTTAATCAGAAGATATCCGGCCTTGCATCCGCTATGAACGCCAAAATCATCGGTTCAGGCGAGCGATCAATGGTCCTGGCACACGGTTTCGGAGGCGATCAGTCGGTTTGGGACAAGATAATACCGGTCTTGTCTCAATCCTTTAAAGTTTTGGTCTTTGACTGGTTGTTCTCTGGAGCCATTAAAGACCAAACTCTTTATGACCCTTCGAAGTATAACTCCTTAGACGCCTTCTCTGACGATCTCATTGCTCTTATGGAGGAGTTGAAGTTTGGTCCTGTCGTGTTCGTAGGCCATTCCATGTCGGGGATGATCGGTTGTGCTGCTTCTATTAAAAGGCCTGACTTGTTTAAAAATCTTCTCCTTATTGCTGCTTCTCCAAGGTACGCCCACTCTTAATTCACTAATAATTAACACTTCCCTTATCAAAAAAATAAAAAAAAATTACAAGTAAAAATCAAAGACATATATATGTGTAATATAGTTCTGTGAATAGAATATTATTTAGGTATTTATTGAATCTATTTATACAAGAGGTAAATTAAATATGATCACATTGATTGCATGTGCTTAGATTTCTCTTTCGAACGTTAATTATAATTCTAAATCATCGGTATATATATATATATATATATATATATATATATATATATATATATATATATATATATATATTTGTAAATAAGATGAAGACCGATGATTTAGAATTATAATTAACGTTCGAAAGAGAAATCTAAGCACATGCAATCAAAATATATAAGGTTAAAAAAAAATATATATATATAAGGTTAAACATTCTGATCGATCGTACAAGATTTGAAGATTCCTTCGTGAATATGTGCTTCATGAAAAAGACAAAAAAATCATGCTTTACGATAATATACTATATTAGCCAATATTTAATAGTTTTTCTGTGGATGATATCTATATGTTGCCAAGTGTTTAACATGTGGCTATGATCAGTTTCTAGCTTGTTGGATGGATATGAGTATATGACATATGATCACATCTTGTCCTACTTCCCTACAGTCTACGCATATATACATAGACACATATATGTAAGCATGCTACATATGCATCTCAATATATGTCATGTGTGTGTTTTAGTATTAGAGAGTAAGACATTCATCTCATAAAGATCTCACATCGAAAATTATAAAAATTCTGCTATAATATAAATATCATGAATCAATATATTTATTCTCAATATTTTTAGGTTGAAAGTACTAAAACTTAACCCATCTTAATATATCACGTGGACCACTAAAAATACTATATTTTCCTATATATAGAAATTTATTGAATGGGAGTTAACTGTTTGAAGTATCATATTTTGACTGATTACTTTAGATATTTATTATAGTTATAGGTGAGAAAGTCGGCCATAATTTAATGCAACAATTGATAATGTTTGACTATATATGTCTAATGCAACGTACTTATAATGTAAAAAGAAAATGATATTTAGATGATCAAATTAGTAACGTTACTAGATTGAAATGCAAATAGGTATATAAACAGTGAGGATTACAAAGGAGGGTTTGAGTCAAAAGACATCGACACAATCATCTCCAACATTGGCTCCAACTACGAGGCTTGGGCGGTTGAATTTTCCTCCGTCGTGGTCGACCCGAGAGACTATGTTTCGGTCCAAAGGTTCGAGAAGTCCCTTAAGAAGATGAAGCCCGAGACGGCTCTTGCCTTAGCTAAGATAGTGTTTGGTAGCGACGAGAGAGAGCTTTTGGGACAAGTGTCAGTGCCTTGCCACATCATACAACCAGGAAACGACGTCGTAGTGCCTGTCTCCGTCGCTTACTTCATGCAGGAGAATATTAAAGGGAAATCGACGGTGGAGATCATCGAGGACGCGATCGGGCATTTTCCACAGATGACATCACATTTGGAGCTGCTTAGCGTCATGAGGCGCCTCATCGAGTTTTGAGGCTTATATATAAAAACTTTGTGTCGATTGATCGAGATTCTTCTTGTCTATAAATTATAATATCGTATTACTAATATAATGGAGTGGGTCTATTATTAGTATTGATATATGTGTTTGTGTAATGTGAATGTGTTATTTTATTTGTAGCACAGAGTTATTTCCAATATTAGTTCTGTTTTTTAAAAGAGGGAGTGAAAGTGAATATGTTCTAAGATTGTTGGTTTTTCTGTTTTAATTTGTTGAATAAAACATTCTTACCAACAAAAGAAAAAAAGAATGCATAATGAAAAAATGTTATCGACAATTGATAGTGGAAGTTGTGTTTTGGCCATTTTGGCAAGCTAGTCCACTGCGAAATTATTTTGGCCTTCTTGTATAAACTTGAAAATCCACCAAAAAAAAAAAAAAAAATTGATCCATTCTTGATTTGTGTATTAAGTTCGCCATTTGAACGTTCGTTGTTTGTCCGGTGTTTAAATCTAGAATCTGATTGGAATCATCCTCCATAATTATCCACCTGAATCCCTGACCCTATAGATGTTGTAAAGTATATATGTACCGTACGTAGCTGAGTCCGGCTTCAAAACCATTATTGGCTGCCGAAGTTTTGATCGAACTACCCGCGAGGAGAAAAACTCTTCTCTCGTCTCGTATAACCACCCATCATGAACCAATCTTTGTATTTGCATCGCCGAAACTACCATTGTAATTACATTTGTGGTAGATCATTACAAAAAAAAAGTGTGGATCATTAAAAAAGTAAATAGTATCAGAAAAAACAAGTTATTTTTAAATATGTGGTTTAACATCAACTATAATATTTGATGTTGTTAATTGAAATCATTTAACATCGGTTCAATTAAAATGATACAAATTTATATTAGTTTGCAATTTTGCATCACTTCAAAAGATTGATACATAAATATGAATTTATATGAATTAAATAATTGATGTATTTATATTTTATTTACATCACTTAAAAATGAAACAAAACTAATATCAATTAAAAAATAATACAAATTATAATAGTTTTGATCACATAAAAATTTGATACAAAGATATTAATTAATTCATGCAATGGAAAGGAAAGGGCATGGAACAAAGCAAAATGTGTTTTATAGACCATTTTAACATGAATAAATCATAGTTCCATCATGATCTAAGTTCATATCAGTTTTTCTTTCTTTTGTAATATCACTAATGATCATCACGAAGTACTCATGAATATGTATTGATAGATTTATATTTATATTTTTTTTTTCATTTTTTGTAAATGGCAATTTTTCTTAATGATTATTAGTAAAAAATCTTATCAAGATTTTAATAGATAATATTAAAAACGACTTTCTTATACAAAAAATAATAATTAATAAAAATAATAATTATGGGATATATTTAAGATTATTAATCTGTTGATAATTTGAAATTATTTAAAATTTTAAACCTTATCAACATCATATAGATAAACTGATGTAAAAGTTAACATTATTTTTTTAACCGAAACAAATACTCACTTAAATAAACTGATGTAAAAGTTAACATCATTTTTACAAAATTGATACATATGAACATAAATTACAATAATCGATGTAAATATGATATTAACATTGGTGTATTATATTTGCAGCACCATTTTCAGAGTCAATTATTTAAGTGATGCAAAATTTACATCATTTATAACTAATGCAAATATATAAAATAAATGATGTAAAATAACCTTTTTTTTTGTAGTGTAGCTTTCATAATGATGTATACTTCCCATAACCACCAAAATAACCTCCATAAAAACCAATTCAATATATTAGTTTGATGGTGGTAGTCGCCGACAAAAAAAAAGTTTGATGGTGGTAGTCTGGTAGAACAAGATTGTTCTAATTACTACTGATAAACTAATGGACCAACATCAAATGAAATTGGTTTGTTTAAACCACTATGTCTGGAACCAATTTGACCAAAAAAATTAAAAAATTGACTAAATCAAACTTGAGAAATTTTCATTGCAAATACGTCGTTGACTTCTGCTTTTTTTCTTAGATTAAGCGACTCGTGGGTTGTTTTAAACTAGATAAATAGAATGGTAGGACATTGACATTGCAATAATAGTTATCTAAAGAGAAAAAAATAAAACATTATCTGGAAATCTGACCCAATCCCATTGATGTAATAATTATTAGCAAACTAATTATTTATTGTCCGATTCAGTTTTACTAGATTATTTTGGTGTAACTTGATGTTAAATAGTAACAATAAATTAGTGGCATCGTCAATGTATTAGGTGGCCATGAAATCTTGAATTTATGCTGGTGCACTCCCGTTCTCCTCTATGCAATTTAATATTTTAAGAACAGTAATTGTTTGAGCATTTCGTCTAATATCTTTGGACCAAAGGTTTTAAAATAAACAAATTTAACTATAGAAGTAATCAAACTCAACCTCGTTTCCCGCTTTTAACATTTTTTGTTTCTGTCGCTTAATTTTTTTTATTGTGGGGAGAGATGTCATCGGCGCCGTCTCCGGGTACTACTCCGTCAACTCCTCCACAACTTCCTCCCATTCCACCCGTCCTTCCTCCTACCGTTCCTGTACAGCCTCCGGTCATTCCTCCTACCGTTCCTATACAGCCTCCGGTCATTCCTCCTCCGTCTCCGCCTCCGCCTACACCCATTCCTCCTCCACCTCCCTTGACGTCTTCTCCTCCACCTCCTTCACCTCCCTTGACGCCTTCTCCTACCCCACCATCTCCCACCACTCCTTCACCTCCATTGACGCCTTCTCCTCCGCCTCCGTCTCCCGAGACTCCTTCGCCTCCGTCTCCCGAGACTCCTTCACCTCCTTTGACACCTTCTTCTCCGCCTCCGCCACCTTCTCCCTTGAGACCTTCTTCTCCTCCTCCGCCTTCTCCCGCCACTCCTTCAACTCCGCCAAAATCTTTCCCATCTCCACCGCCTCCTTCAAAACCCGCTCTACCTCGGTCGGACACTCAAAGCCCTCCACCTCCTCCAGCAAATCCCACTGGCGGGGGATCTTTACCAACGGGAATGTTGGTTGGGGTTGCCATCGGAGGAGTTGCTATGCTTGTTGTGGTATTGGCTTTAATTTTTTTCATTTGTAAGAAAAAACGACGAAGAGATGATGAAGCACCTCCTGCGCCCATAGGTAAAACAAAGATCTTAATTAGATTAAATCAAAAAATCAAATCTTGAACTATATTTTTCCTCATTTCTATGATTTATCTAAAGTATCTTGTTTTCTATATGCAACCATTTAGAATCTAAATGTAATAATTAGATTTATCTACATTTTCTTTTAAATACAAGAATATGCATTTTGTGAAAATTTATTACATTTTTGTAGAAAAAATTGCATATTGATATATTGGAAAATCATAAACATGGAAAGAAATGTATATGGATCCATAGAGAAATTAAACCGTTATTCAGATTTGATGTTCTTGTGTTTCTCAGCTGGAGGACCTTACGGTGGATATCAGCAACCAAATGCATCAAGACAGTCAAATAACGTGATGGCTTCACTGCCACCTCGTCCGCCGCACTTTATGAGTAGCAGCAGCAGTGGCGGCTACGACTCAAACTACTCAGATCAATCAGTTCTTCCTCCACCATCACCAGGGCTTGCATTAGGCATCTATCAAGGCACTTTCAATTACGAGGAGTTATCTAGAGCCACCAATGGCTTCTCTGAGGCCAATTTGTTAGGACAAGGTGGATTCGGATATGTGTTTAAAGGTATGTTGCGTAATGGAAAAGAAGTTGCTGTCAAACAGTTGAAAGAAGGGAGTTCTCAGGGAGAGAGAGAGTTTCAAGCAGAGGTTGGGATTATTAGCCGAGTTCACCATCGACATTTGGTTGCTCTTGTTGGTTATTGCATCGCTGATACTCAAAGATTGCTTGTCTATGAGTTTGTTCCCAACAACACTCTCGAATTTCACCTCCATGGTTAGTAAAAAACCTAAACTCTTCTATGGTTTATTGCATGCTTTAATGTTTTCAATTAGTAACAATTTTTTTGGGGATTGAACTTGTGACAGGGAAGGGACGGCCTACGATGGAATGGAGTTCAAGATTGAAGATTGCTATTGGTTCTGCCAAAGGATTGTCTTATCTTCATGAAAATTGTAAGTCTAATTAAGATTATGTTTAATAAAATATAGGCCATGTTTGTTTATTTGGTACGCATTTATATATTTTGCAGGCAATCCTAAAATCATCCACCGTGATATCAAAGCGTCAAACATATTGATTGATTTCAAATTTGAAGCAAAGGTATTATTTATATTTCCTTATTGTTTATATGTTTTCATTAATTAAGGCATTATATGTAACATGGTATGATATTTTGATCAAACTTATTTGAATTTTGTGTGTGTCTCTTCTATCCATTAGGTTGCTGATTTTGGTCTTGCCAAGATTGCTTCGGATACAAACACTCATGTATCTACACGTGTGATGGGAACTTTTGGGTAAAGATAATTTCGAAGCTACTAAATATGTACATTTATGCAGTTTTGTGAAAAATTTATGTGAATCTTTACATATCCTGAAACTTTTTGGTTTTGGATTTTTAGGTATTTAGCTCCGGAATATGCTTCAAGCGGAAAACTGACAGAAAAGTCTGACGTTTTCTCATTTGGCGTTGTACTTTTGGAGCTAATAACCGGACGTCGCCCTATTGATGCAAATAATGTCCATGCAGATAACAGCTTGGTTGATTGGGTAATTAATATAACTACAAATAATCTAACTTTCACATAATATTTACAATGTGATTATTGAATAAAGCAAAATCTGTGTGAATAATGTGGAACAGGCACGACCTTTGCTTAACCAAGTATCCGAAATAGGAAACTTTGAAGCTGTGGTTGATACAAAGTTGAATAATGAGTATGACCGAGAAGAGATGGCTCGTGTGGTTGCTTGTGCCGCAGCTTGTGTTCGGTCTACAGCTCGCCGCAGACCTCGCATGGATCAGGTAACTTAATCATTCTTTTATTTAGGGGTGGGTATTTGACTTTCCGGTTTTCAAATATGTATACTGAGCAAGAAGCCTAGAACCAAAAGATTGTCACTTGTCAGTTCGGTTTAATTTTTTGGCTTCAAAAACAAAAATTACCAAAAGTATAAATAACTAGTTTTATTTTAATTTATCATATTTTTGTATAATTAAATTTCTTTATAGTAAAAAACTAATCTAAAATGTCACTTAAGAAAAAATTGGTTGCACTAATTTCGTTTCCGATTTGGTTTCGGTTTATACCTTATTCGATCATAGTTGGTTCGGTGTGTATGCTTAGTCTTATATATTGCTGATTTGACTGAGCAATGGGACAACATGTTTTCTTAGCTACACTTGTGTTTTGTTTTTACATTACCAAATATTAGCGATTGAAGTGTTAATAATGCTAATCAAATGAGTGGTTGGTGTAAAAAAACGACTAGGTTGTGCGTGTGCTAGAAGGAAACATATCGCCTTCAGATCTGAACCAAGGGATCACACCTGGTCATAGCAATGTGTATGGCTCATCTGGAGGAAGCACGGATTATGACTCGAGCCAAGACAGTGAAGGCATGAACAGGTTTAGGAAAATGGGACTCGAGACTCAAGATTTGTATAGTAATCCAATAAGTGAATATGATTTGTACCCGTCTTGGTCGAGCATTGAGGGTCAGACCACACGTGAAATGGGCAATATTAAAAGACCCGGTCAAGGTTATGGTTAAAGATGTAAGAAATTACATGTTTTTTTTAATTTTTTTTTTTCTTTTGAACTGTAAAGATTTGAGGAAATGTGTTAACTCTAATTGAACTACAATCTATATGATACACTTATACTGATTTTATATTTTTGTTTTTTTCTTTCCATAAAAGATGTGATGCTAATACTCAGATTGAGGTTGAATTCTTGGAAAAAAAAATTGAGGTTTGATGCTGAAATGTTGAATATCAATCTTTGAGATTTGATCTTTAATTTAGCTGGTTGTTTTGAAGAACTTGTTTGTATGTAGGTTTCACTTTTGTGCTTGCAATCACTATCAACTTGAAATGATGTTGGTTTAGAATCTCGACCTTTGGGTTGGATTCCTCGACCAATATTTTTGCTTAGAATATGATGTTGTACCGCTTTCTTTTCAATCATCATGTTCAAAATCGAAAAGCAAAAAAATATCGTTTTTAGTTGTTATGTCTTTTTTCTTTAAAGTAAAACGATGGTGCGTTTCTTCCAAATACTTTATATTATTTACATTGGAATTTAGATCAACAACCTTTAATATGATTGAAATTTGTTTGCAATTGTTCTATACGAGGTTAATCTTGTATTACAGTCGCAAATATTTTTTGCATTTTCCCCTAAACTATAAAGTATAAACCAAAGATTATGGTTTGTAGACATAGAAAAAGATCATGGAGGTGTTAAAAAAAGAAAAAAAAAAGGAAAGAAAAAGATCATGGTTTGAATTATATTACACAAAAGTTACAAAACTCTATTATCGGTCACTATTGGGGCTGTTAGTATTGGGCCGAACGACATATTTCCAGACTAGTGGACCCTTGAAACAGAACATTTTGGTGGTTGGAACAAAACAAAGTCACTGATGTTTGGTTTCTCCGACAAACGTGGAATTGGGAATCACAGTGATGATCAAAACTTTGTCTCTAGCTTCTGCTCGCATCTTCTTCTCTAGAACCTCTCCATATTTTCTTATTCCCCTCTCTAAGCTCTCTGTATCACATCGCCGGAAATTCTCAGTGATGGCCAGTGGAAGCGACGAGTTCGTGAAAGGAAATGTTTATCCAAATGGCGTTGCTTTCATCACTCTTGATCGACCTAAAGCTCTCAACGCCATGAATCTAGGTCCGTTTTTCACAAAGACTTACGCTTTTTATTTAATGAACTCAAACCCAAGTTCAATCATTGATAACGAATTTTACAGAAATGGATTTGAAGTACAAAAGCATTCTTGATGAATGGGAATCTGACCCTAGTGTCAAATGTGTTGTTGTTGAAGGAAGCACACCTCGGGCCTTTTGTGCAGGTAAAGAAGAAAACTCTTAATAGTGGATTCTGGTTTCTAAGATTGTAGGATAACTTTGTGGAAATAGTTTTGCATCTGGTCTGGTCTTATCTTGTAATGGTGCAGGGATGGATATTAAAGGAGTGTTGCAGAGATCCTAATGGACAAAAACACGTCTCTTGTGCAAAAGGTTTCTTATATGAATTATTTGTTATTGACTGGCTTGTAGAAGATGGTTATAACTTTATAGCATTATTCCTTGCTTATCTCTTTCCTGAATCATGTTAATATCCATAAAATTTTGAAACTTTTGTGTGTTTATGTGCTGTGTTTTGATTTTTGTGGGGAGGGAGTGGGAGTTTTTAGATTCATTTTCTTGCAACAGAGAAGTTTTCTTTGTCTAATTCAAACTGGATAGAAAGTTTGTAACTATGGTCTTAGTTTATCTGCAGGTGGTGATGTGAAGCAGATTACATCTAAAAATCAATTGTCAGATATGATAGAGGTCTGGTTGTGCTCTTTTTTCCCCCATAAGTCAGGATTATTGAAACAGAAATAGAGAAATACTAGTCATGCAATGCAACAGTATTCACTTCAGTGTTCTTAGAAATCCAATATTTGCTACCTAATAGTACAATAACAAGCTCATTTTTCCAAACATACTTGAAGTAGTAGGAAACTTCTACCTTGGTGATGTTATGTGGTCTATTCTTTTGAACAAATTAATTTGTGTGGTAACACTCTTTAGTCTAGGCTTTTAAGTTTTACTCCATTCTTGCTTTATTTTTCGCTTGGATCGGCCTTTTTTTTGAAGTACTCACCTTCAGTTTCTTACAATATGTACTCACCATCAGTTGCTTTAGTTCATTTGATTACCCTCCAAAATGTATGTTTCTTGTTAATGATGTCCTAACTTCATAACTTTGCTTCCTTTTAGGTATTTACAGCTGAGTATAGCCTGATATGCAAGATTGCTGGTTACAAAAAGCCATATATCTCGTTAATGGATGGCATAACAATGGGATTTGGTCTTGGTCTTTCTGGGCATGGACGCTACCGAGTGATAACAGAGGTTCACATTAGTAAATCCTTGTTCTGTACTTTTGTGCAGATAACATTTAGCATGAATTTTACTGTTTTGTTATCCATTTCCAGAGGACAGTCCTCGCAATGCCAGAAAATGGAATCGGCTTGTTTCCAGATGTTGGATTTTCATATATAGCAGCTCATAGCCCTGGTGAAGGATCTGTTGGTATGTTCATGTCCTAGATTCCTAATATGATCATTTACTTTCTACCCGTATATTATAAAGAATAAGGGAAATTGGCAAAGGAAGTTTCTTGCTGTCATGTCAATTGTCGACATGGTCATTTTGTTCAAGGAAGTATGTTCCACTGTAGTATCATTCTCCACCAGCAACTTTTTGACCTTCAAAATCTGCAGGTGCTTACCTTGGTATGACTGGGAGAAGGATTTCCACACCTTCAGATGCACTTTTTGTGGGTCTTGGGACACATTATGTACCATCTGGAAAGCTAGGGTCACTCAAAGAAGCCATTTTGTCAGCTGACTTGTAGGACCTCACAGACTACTTTGTTCGACATATTTCAATCGATTTCATGTGTATATTTCAAATATAGGAGCTTTTGGTATTATTTTGTTTAGTCTCTCAGAAAGCATATGTGTTGGTAATACAGTTCCAAGGATCCCCATCAACACATCCACGCAACTTTATCAAAGTACAGCAGTGATCCTGAATCTGAGTCCCAACTCAAAATGCTTTTGCCTCAGATAGAATCAGCTTTTAGTGCAAGTAAGTCTGTTAAGGAAACTATAGAAGAGCTGAAGAAGTACCAGCAGAGCACTGAGGCTTCAGGTATGATATGCATTAGTATCTTAAGGTTTCGACAAATTGGAATCGCTATCTTGCGTCTGAGAAATTTGGACACAATGTTTGTGTACAGTTGCAGAATGGGCTAATGAAGCACTCCAAGGCCTTGGAAAAGGGGCACCGTTTTCTCTATACCTAACACATAAGTACTTCTCCAAAGTTGCTTGTGCCAAGGGTAAAACCAACAACGCGATGACAACAGTGAGTCCAAACGCTTTGTATCCGATAAATTTGCGTGTGTTTCCTTAGTAATACTTACTATTCTTTCCATTTTGAAGCTTAGCGGTGTGATGAAAACTGAGTACCGCATTGCTCTAAGATCCGCATTGCGCAATGATTTCACTGAAGGTGTTAGAGCAGTCTTGATTGACAAGGACCAGGTTTTCGTTCATTGCCACTCAATATTTTTGTAACATTGTCCATCATTTCTGTTTCTGCTGTTTAATGATTCAGTTCATTCTGTCAAATGGTTTTTGTGTGCTTTCTTATTTCTCATACTCTGTCGTCTCTGCAATGCCTACTATAAGCTCATTCATGAGTGTGTTTTTTTTGTTGCAGAATCCGAAATGGAAACCAGCGAGCTTAGACGAGGTAGATGAAACCGAAGTGGACGCTCTCTTTAAGCCATTAAGTCCTGAATTGGAAGAGCTAAACGTATGAAAGTGACTTACCAAACAACAGAAGATATTGCTTAGCTCATGGATTGGTGATTATAGTGTTGCAGCTATTGAACATGTTTCATCTATTTATCAAATTTTTTCAAGTCGTAGATTGATCAACTTACAACAGAAGTAAATATTTTCCAATAAGTCGTATCAATAGGAAATGATACAAACCAAATAGATAAAAAACACAGTAATCAAACTATTTTTTTCTTTCTTTTATGTGATAAATAAAATACAAATGAAATAAGAAACATTCCTAATGGTAGGCAAGAGAAGCAGAATAACAAAAATTTGTTTGGAAAACTTTTAAAGCAATTTTACATGAAAGTGACATTATATATCTCCATTAATCTGAACAGAGCATAAGATCGTGATAAGAAAGAATCTGTAATCTTTATTATCTCACAAAAAATCAATACAATCTGAACCATGTCTAGATTTTGAAACTCTCACCAGTCACCACAATGACACATACTAAAGTTTATATACAAAAGGTCTAAACCAAACTAAACCGGCTCTTCTTCTAAACCAGCTCTCTTCTCAAGTAACAGTCTTTGCTCCCATGTAACAGTACGACAGTAAAAAGAACCATGTCTAGATTTTGAAACTCTTTTAAAACAATTTTTTAGTCTCAATGTTTACGCTACGAAGAAGAGGAAAATCATGAGAAATGCAATGAGTACGAAGAAAATCTTCATCATCAGCCATCGGTTTGACGATATGCTGTTAAGATACCTCGCCAGTTGGCTCTGTGCGCCTTCCACATTCGCTAATGTATCTTCCATGTTTTGATCGATCCTGTACAAGCCCAAACATATTATATTACTTCGTTTCCACAAATGTTCTACGGATCATTAGACATTATAACACATTTTGATGTTTCCCTCAGGAGGAAGACAAACCTGATTGCAATTTCCCCTTGTTGAGATACCATGGTTGCTAGTTGTGTGAAGATACTGCCAAGCTCATGGATTGTTGATTCGACGTTGTGTAGAGCTTCAGCTCGGCTCTGCATATATGTGTCTTGCAATGGGACCATCTGTTGCTGCTGTTGTTGTTGTTGTTGTTGACTCTGCTGCAACAATGGCGAAGATTCAGCCTCTCCTTGCTTCCTGTAAATGCAGAGATTATGAAAGGTATTGAGTTCTTGACATGCCAAATACGAAATCAGCAATGACTGACATTGTACAGATAAGATTCTAGTAAATCCATAGCAACTTTCTGGACTCCAATTAGACCAAATTCTTAGCCAGATTTCAAGAGGTAAGCTGTATTTTGCAACTGTGGTTATTAGGTTAATAGTACTTTACCATGGGACTAACTGAGATGACGATGAAGAAGACCCATTCGCCCATGGAAGAGGAGCAGATTCACTAGCAGAAGCCTTAGCAGCCAAAGGCCGCTGGCGAACAAACGGGTTTGTTGATTCTTTTGAAGCGTTTGAAGAGAAGAGTTGCCTTCGATTCTCATGGATCTTCATGTTCTGCAACACCAGACCAGTAAATCAAAGCTCAGTCTAGCATCATTACACTAGCAATAAGGTAAGAGTCACCACTAAATACTCAAGCTTAATCGAAAAGAAATCCAAAGAAACAAAGAACGAACCTCGGTTCTCATAGTAAGAACATCCTTAAAATCTTTGGTAGTATCCATCAAGCGATTCTTTAGAACGTCAACAACTGTTGTTGAGTGAGTTGATGTATCTCTAGAATTGTTCTCTTCGCCATTCTGGGAGCTACGAAGCACTTGAAGGTCAAGCAGAGCAGTATTTAGAGCAGAGATCTCTTGCTTAATGACTACCGTCAGCTCTTGTATCTCCTGAGTCGGATCATCAAAAACTGATGTCCTCTTTGCAACTAATTTACATCAAAATCACAAGTTAATCAATTATGCAGAAACAACAACCTCTTCGATCCCTAGACCATTCTAATTCTTAAGCTAAAGCCATTAGAGGAAGCAACAAGATTGAAGTTATCCAGATTCATGAGATCACTAAAAACAACTTACGTTTCGCTAGCTTCGAAAGCTTCTGCGACGTCTGATTAATTGCTAAACCAATCTTAGAAGCTCTTTTGTTGAACTCGGATTTGTTGATAAGATCCTCTCTTCTCGAACCATCGTTCACATTATTCGCCGCCGGAGTAATCGATCTCCTTAGACTCTCAACGATATCGAAGAATTCCTTCGTCCGATCTCGATACGACGATTGCCCATGCCTTGCCGACATTATTCTTCCTCGAGAAACTTCGGATCTGGGCTCTCTCAGAAGCAAAATCAACCGAAAAACGTAGAGATTCAAACGAAAATGGATGCGAATCTGATGATTTTGATACAGAATCACACACCGTTGCTTATAGAGGAAGAAACAATCTATGGATTTTTCTCGGTGAATCGTGAAAACCAAAATCAGAGGAAAAGAGCTAAAACCGATCAACGCGTTGGCATGATATTTATCATTTTGTCAATTGTGTTTCTAAAATGTCAAATTTTGACCCTATACTTTTTGTTTGCTTAAAATGGTACCTAAATTAGATTGTGTTACGAATTTTTTTATTTTTTTAATCTACTTTTTAGTTTCTTATGTTTTCTGAATTTTAGTTTTAAGATGAATCCAAATAATTTTTATTTCAGTAACAAACAAAATTATATATTTTCAAAATTATTTTCTTACATAATTCACTTTAAGTTTGAAAAAACTTATAATTCTTGATGAAATTAAGATATTTGGAATTTTCATTAAAATATAAAATATTAAACCAATTTTTAATAGAAAATTCTGATTAATATTAACTATTCTTTTCTCAAAAAATATACAATTTATATAGCGATTTCTTACTTCAATTGTTTATGCTAATATTGATACTTCTTTTTAGTGAAAATAGTATATATGAATTGCATATAACAAAATTTTAACCTTACTACAAAATTCGAATATAAAAATATATTTTAAAGCAATATCGCCATCTACTATATTTTCACGATTTAAATGTGCTAAACATCAAATAGACTATTTTTTTTGCATACCATCAAATACACTATTTTAAATGGAATTTCAATCCAAAATTTTTCTCACTTATTAGAAAACAATAATGGTTCTTTGCCGCATAAATATCCCAAAAACATAATTTGTTTTATCCACATAATTCATGAACATAAATACAACAATTTAAAATATAATAATTTTACCCGCTTGACGCTATTTTCATTCATTAGCTTGACCCGACAATTGTCTATCTACTTTATTTGACGAAAGAGAAATGAGAGGCATCACTAACATAGTATTCACCCTCTTAACGAGCTCATTCACATGATATACAAACAATCTTAAAGCAGATCTCATTTCTTAGTAGAACGATCTAGCCATAATCTTTGTTGATGGTTTTCAGCAAAATGTGCCTCATGAACTTCCAAATCATTATTTTGTTTTGTTTATAACTGATTTATTTCTTGTCGTATTTATTTTTACCTAATTCTTTTGTGTAAATAAGTTTTCTTTTGATCAATTAAACAACAGTTTTAGTTTAGATCAATTAAATAATAGAAAAAGAAAAGTAATACCATGATTACATTTTTAGATGCTTGTGTAATATTAACAATGAAACAACAATCAAACACATTCTATAAATTTAATATGAATTCTGTTTTCTTAAGAAGCCCAATGGCAATTTTCTCAACCATATGCAGAAAGATGTAGTTGAAATCTTATGGTTAATGAACAGACAACAGTGGAAAATGCTACTCACGCTAGCGGATCCAAACAATTATTTAAATTTGTTTTTTTATTTGAATTAAAAGAATAATCTACCGATATGATTTTGAGCTTTATCAAAGACACATCAACTAAAGTTCTCGAAATTACAAAATTAAACATCATTGTAAACCAAAATGACGAGATAACATGATTGACACAATTCCAAAAACAAAGAAACAAAGAAACACAATTTCAAAATGACAAGACAAAAGCTTTAAAAGTCCATACTTTAAAAAACAGACAAACAAACACAACAACTAGAAGTCTAGGAATGATTATTGTTAATGCTTGACCAAACCTTATTCATATCAAACGACGTCACACCATCATTATCTTCCCTAACGGTTGTTCCATTACGTGGTGGCTCTTTACGGATACGATCATTGATTGTTGTAGTGTTACTCCTCCTGTGAAATTGTAAGTCGCCATTGTTGACAATGTTTCCTTCCTCTTTTACTCCTAACTCACGAGTCTTGAAATCAAAAGGGTATTGCCTTGGTTGACTCATAGCCATGGTTGAACTATAATTCATACTATAATATTGAGATGGTTGAGAGACTGACCTAACCAAACCATTGAAGGTTACCATTGAGGCTCCAACCGGCACCGTCTCTAAATTAGAGTTTTTGTTGATACTCTTTCCTTGATTTGGAATATGATTTGGATTTTTCTTGCCAGATACTACATTCATCTCGATTTGGTGGTGGGTTCTAGGATTAGGCGGTTCAGAAGATGGAAAAACCCATTTATCTAGTAAGTAATAGGTTTGATTTCCCTTTACTGCAGCACCAATGCTAATCCTTTTCCCCGCTTCATTAGTTTTCCAGACTCTCTCATCTTCCTGACCCTTTCTAACAAAAGCATCATTTGTGGTGGTCATAAACTCCTCGAATTGCACCTCAAATGGTGGCACTGGTGGATCCCGAAGAGAAGGATATTGCACGAAATCTAGCCTTTTCCTATAACGTATGATATTATCCTTTAAGAAAGATATCAGTGCATAGATCTCACTCAAGTTAAGATCATGAATTTTACGACCATGATGTAGTTGCGCCATCAACTGAGCAATGGCATAATTCATGTTCTTCTTTTGAGTTTTCGTCATTTGCTCATGAACCTTCTTTGTCTTCTCCTTCAAGTATGATTCGAGGCTCATCTCTTTTTTCTTCTTCTCGATCTCCGGTAAGGCAAAGAAACCGTCTAGGACATCACGGGCCTTCTCAACAGATGGCCACACCAAAGGTTCAACCTCATAAGGGCTGAACATGATCATACAAACCTTTATATCACACAATATAGATAGTTCTTTTATCTTTTTCACTAACCCTTCCCTCTTTTTCTTGAAACTTATTGCTCTTGAGTTGTCATTTTCTACCCATGCAAGTGTTTTTTTTTTCCTTCCCATAGTCACTCTTTGATTTTGATTTTTTTTGTTGTAGGATTTGTGAGGAGAAAATAATGCGAGATTTTGTTAAATAGAGATGAAATAAAGAGATAAGATCTTCAGCACTGGTGCCAGCCAAAAGAAAGAGATAAGATGGATGCTCGTTAAGATGGAAAATATATTACTATCTATTAAAAATATTGAACGTTGATTGTGATTTTTAAGATACACCAAACCTTTTGATCTAAAACCAAGTAAATAAATCTCAGTCAATTTGTTTTTTTTTTTTTTAATTTGGTTAAAGTAGTTCTTTTCCAAATATCAGAAAGACTTTAATCGATTTTGAACCAAATTGAAATAGAAATAAAATAAAAATTATTTTATATAAATAATAAATATAAATTGTTTAATTAATTAAATCAAATCTAAACTAAAATTCCACCAAAACAATCTATTCTTTTTTGTTTTCTATTAATTTTGTTTATTTGAAATCACACTTATAGACCAAAAGTAAAAACCGAATTGAACCACCAACATGTTGAAATCTCTATGTGGTTGTGTTATTCCATGGAAATAAATTCTTTGCACAAATAAAATTGAATTTACTTCCAAAAATATGGTCGAATGATACAAATTTGTGGTCTGATTATACACAAATAATAATTTAATTCATAATTCTATCTTTAGTTAATTCTTATAATTATATTGACCACATTATTTCATTATTGTGCATCATATTAATTCAAAGTGTTTGACAATTCTTTTTTGGAAATTATATGTTGACTATACATTTCAATATAAGCATTGTTATAATATTTCCGTATAGAAAAATTGACTCCTGAATTCTTTATTGTTTATTTTAAATGAAATATTTTCTTATCAAAAGTTATATTCATGTTGTAAAGTGACATGAAAGTAAAAAAAAAAAAAGTTTAAAATAATACAGTTCTATAAGTCAGATAAAAATATCTTACAAATGTATAACATTTTATTAATTTAAAGAGATGTTATTTTTATCATGGATTTTCTGATGAAAGCTTTTAAGAAAAATGTCTACATGTAATCGAATAATTTAATGAGAGTTATACCTAGTTATGTGTTAAGGGTGTGAATGGATGGAAGCATGCAATCCGAAGGTATTTGATTTTGTTGCCTAAAGCTAGTCATAAAATTGATGTCCAAAAAGATGGAAAAAGTCTTTTAGAAAAATATTGGATTTGAACTTTTGACAAATTGTCTAAGGACATAGTATGCTTAACAACTATATCTATTGAGTAATTCCAAAAATGATGCTCCTAAAATATATTATAAAATATGCCGTCTAAAACCTTATTTTTTTGGGCTTATGCCATGAGCTCAACTTGGATGGCAGAGACATAAAATGAGAATTAGAAAAAAGAGAAGAATTTTTTTCTAATCAAAGACACTTTTAAATGGTGAAAACTTTCCACTATAAATTAGATAGGAAATAAATGACTCTAGAATAATTACTCTAACATTGTCATCCGTTCAGTCCCTAAATATTTGCAAGCATCATACATCACATTTACTCCTTTGTGCAAATAGGATCTTTGATTTTTTTGCAAAAACTATAGTAGATCCATTGTATAAACAAATAAGGTATACTCATTATAAAAAGAAAAATCATTAAAAAAAGGAAAAAAAATCATTAACAAAAGTTGTACCGCCTAAAATTTTCCATTATATTATACGATTGTGGAATACGATTTTAATACACAAAGCCGGCGGAAGACAAAAATATCTCTGGAAACTAAGCCCAAACGAGAGAAGCATAAAAACAGAACGAGATATAGCCCTCAAAAGACGAAACAAAATGCAACAACTAAAAACAAGAACTCTAAAGAAGAGATTTGTAGACTTAAATTCCTCTAAACCAGGATGATAAAAGCCACTCACTGCTGTCAAAAAAAAAAAAAAAGCCACTCACTAACAACGCAAGCAACGAAACTTCCTAAAATCAAAAACTACTTCTCACACGAAGTGAACATAGACTTCTATTCCAGTAAGAAAGAACCAAAACAAAGTATTCTAGTTCCTCCAAACTTCTTCCGAAATCAGCGATATCAAAAACAACGACAAAAGTTGTACCATCTAACTTCTCTATTTGGTAAGAAGTAATTTTATAAAAATTTATTTTTTTCATTATTTTCTTTTATCTCTTTTTCTTCACATTGTACACCTACTTTTTTTTGCTTCATATTTATCCGTAGTTGTATGATAACACCACTTGTTCATCATCTCCTAATGACATGGATTGCATAATGTTGTCTAGAAAATTTTCCCACTAGATTTGATTACCACAAAATTTTCATAAAGCTATATAATAAAACAATAAAGCAGAGCAAATCAGCAATAGTTTCACTTCAAGATTTTTTCTCTCGAGAAGATATCTTTCTCTAAACCAACACTAAAAATCAGAAATATTAGTCACATCAAAACAAAAATGAGAGAATCCTAAGCAAATAGTAAAATTGTAAAATATACTGTATTAAAATAGTAAAATCTTTTTCATTTTCCCCGACGAATAAAAGACTAAATTATGAACCCTATTAAATACCTCTCTCTTCTCTACTGACACAACCAGTAGTTTCATCCCCACCTTTTAACTTTGAAACTCTCATGTCAATCAATTCCCACCAATAGAAGTGAACCAAACTTATCTAATAACTTTAATTTTAGCCCCTAATGTTTTCAATTATTACAATATACCCCAAAATAAGAAACAAACAAAAAAAACCCTTTTTAATTTATTAATGTTTTCGAGAAAGTTGAATCGTTACCGCCAAAGGCAAAAAAAAGAGAGCCCATGAGTTTCTTCAATCTTCTTCTTCCTCCTTCGTCAAATCCACTCTTCTAGGGTTTTCGATTTCTCTTCTTCAACCATGGATATGACTACTTGTGTTGCTAGAAGAACTCGTTCAAGGACTGAATCTTACTTGAATTCGATTCTTAATAGATCAAAGGGGATTAATGGAGAAGAAGATTCGTTAAATTCGAGGACGGAGAAGAGAAGAGTGAACATGCGTGATGCTTGTTCACCGTCTCCGAGGAAGAAGAAACGACGGCGGAGAAAGGTTAGTGAGGATGATGACGACGACGATGTTGAATTTATCAGAACTGATTATCCAGAAGGTAAGCGTGATGATGAGAATGTTGGTTCTACTTCTGGGAATTTTGAATCGAAATCGCTTGATTTTTCTGATAGGGTTTGTGATTTGGGAGGTGAAGAGAGAATTTCTAATTTTAACCCTTTATCTCCGGATGATGATGATGTTGTTTTTGTTAGAACTGTTTTGAGAGAGAATGATCATGTTGGTTCTGCTTCGGTGGTTTCTCCTAGGGTTTGTGATTTTGATGTGGATGATGCTGATTTGAGGGGTGAGGAGAAAACTTCTAGTTTGGATCCTTTATCTCCGGATGATGATGATGTTGTTTTTGTTGGAACTGTTCCGGGAGAGAACGAAGATGTTGAGGATGGTAATGTTGGTTCTGGGGTTTGTGATATTCTTTTGGATGATGTTAATTTGAGGGGTGAGGAGAAGACTTATGAGTCTGATGAGGTTGTGAGTCTAAGTTTTAATTCTGATGATGAGGAATGTGGGACTGATTCAGGAGAGGAAGTTAGTGGTGAAGATAGAGATTCTGGTGAGATTGATATGAATGAAGATGCTAATGACCCATCTTATAACATGGAGGAAAGTTCAGATCCTTCTTGTGAGGAGAGCTCTGATAGTGATTTTGTTCGTTCTGAGGATGAAGAGGGTGGTACCGGAGACGTTGCTAAAGGCGAAAAGAACCCAAGTGAAAAAGTATACTACCATAAAAAGTCGAGGACTTTTCGTAGGAAGCATAACTTGGAAGTAATTAACCTGCTAGCTAAATCTATTTGGGAGAGCAAAGACGTTTTCAAGGAAGACATTTGCTCCGGGGACAAAATAGCAGAGGTTGATTCTAGAGAAGATGCTATAAATAGGGAGAGCTCAAGTGAAAAGGTAAATGAACAGGGGAAACCAAGGGAACTGAGGAGTTTCCATAGGGTGAAGGAGAAGAACCACTTGAATGGTGAGAATTTTTATGGTGGCGGAAAACTATGTGATGGCGAAGAGACAATACACTACTCGACAGAAGATTCACCTCCTTTAAACTTGAGATTTGGCTGCGAGGAGCCTGTGCTTATCGAGAAAACAGAAGAGGAGAAAGAATTAGACAGCTTGTGGGAAGATATGGCCGTTGCTCTAACATTGGAAGGAATGAACTCATCTACTCCTGATAAAGTAAGACTACTAATTCTTCTATTTTGCCCAGGCTATGCCTGACAATCTTGTTGCATGCTTTCTAGTTCTTACCTCCAGCTTTGTCTTAGCACTGTTTCACCATGAAATTAAATCACTTGCTCTTTGATGTATCAGAATGGAGATATGCTATGTAGCAAAGGGACGCACGACTTTGTCCTGGATGAGGAAATCGGTTTGAAATGCCTCCACTGTTCGTATGTGGCTGTCGAGATCAAAGACATCTCACCAGCTATGGTAACATCCATTGCACTTGGAAATCCTAGATTGAGTTGTACTATTTGTTGATTTTCTTTTTGATTCAGAGTTCTTAACATGTTCATTTTTTGGCATTGTGCAGGACAAGTATCGTGCTAGTGTTAACGACAATACGAAATCTAGTGATAAAAAGGGTGACCCTTTACCTAACAGGCTTGACTTTGATGCTTCAGATCCCAGCAGTCATGTCGCCCCTTTGGATAATACAGAAGGAACTGTCTGGCAATACGTCCCTGGCATCAAAGATACTTTGTACCCACACCAACAAGAAGGCTTTGAATTTATTTGGAAGAACTTAGCTGGGACAACAAAACTTAATGAGTTGAACAGCGTAGGGGTTAAGGGAAGTGGCGGATGCATTATTTCGCATAAGGCTGGAACTGGTAAGACACGCTTGACCGTCGTTTTTCTCCAGTCATACTTAGAACGGTTTCCAAATAGCCATCCTATGGTCATAGCTCCTGCAACTCTAATGCGTACGTGGGAAGAAGAAGTCAGGAAATGGAACGTAAATATTCCATTTTATAACATAAATAGTCTGCAGTTCTCAGGGTATGAGGATGCTGAAGCTGTCTCACGTTTAGAGGGAAATAGGCATCATAATTCCATCCGTATGGTTAAGCTAGTTTCGTGGTGGAAGCAGAAAAGCATTCTTGGAATTAGCTACCCTCTGTATGAGAAGCTCGCGGCAAATAAGAACACTGAAGGAATGCAAGTGTTTAGGAGGATGTTGGTAGAATTGCCGGGGTTACTGGTCCTTGACGAGTGCCACACCCCGAGAAACCAGAATAGTCTCATTTGGAAAGTGCTTACTGAAGTCAGAACAGAAAAGCGTATCTTTCTGTCAGGGACACTGTTCCAGAATAATTTCAAGGAACTTTCTAACGTCTTATGCCTGGCAAGACCAGCTGATAAAGATACGATTTCTTCGAGGCTACATGAACTTAGCAAGTGCAGCCAAGAAGGAGAACACGGAAGGGTGAATGAAGTAAATAGAATTGTGGATCTTAAGGCTGTGATTGCCCTTTTTGTGCATGTCTACGAAGGAGACATTCTTCAAGAAAGCCTTCTAGGTCTAAGAGACTGTGTTCTGGTGTTGAACCCGCCTTTTCAACAGAAGAAAATTCTGGACAGAATTGACACTTCTCAAAGCACATTTGAATTTGAGCACAAGCTTTCAGCTGTTTCAGTACACCCATCTCTGTATTTGTGCTGCAATCCGACGAAAAAGGAAAACTTGGTTATTGGGCCAGCAACATTAGAAACTCTGAAGACGCTTAGACTTAAGTACAAGGAAGGTGTGAAAACAAAGTTCCTTATCGACTTCATCCGCATCAGTGGAACCATGAAAGAGAAAGTGTTGGTGTATAGCCAATACATTGACACTCTAAAGCTGATCATGGAGCAACTCAGTGAAGTATTTGGCTGGACTGAAGGGGAAGAAATTCTCTTTATGCATGGTAAAGTTGAACAAAGAGACAGGCAGTATCTGATCGACAACTTCAACAAACCAGACAGTGGATCTAAAGTTCTACTGGCATCAACAAAAGCATGTTCCGAGGGTATCAGTCTTGTTGGCGCTTCAAGAGTTGTGATTCTTGATGTTGTTTGGAACCCTTCTGTTGAAAGCCAAGCCATAAGTCGGGCTTTCAGACCTGGTCAAAAGCGTGCTGTGTTCATTTACCATCTCATGGTGAAAGACACATCTGAGTGGAACAAGTACTGTAAGCAAAGTGAGAAACATCGCATATCCGAACTGGTCTTCTCTTCTACCAATGAGAAGGATAAGCCGATCAACAACGAAGTTGTTTCCGAAGATAAAATCCTCGACGAGATGGTTCGACACGAGAAGCTGAAACACATCTTTGAGAAGATACTTTATCACACAGGAATCTGACATGTTTACCAGCTTCTTCTGATTGAAATATCATTTTCTTTCTGTTAATCCCACTCTGAGACTCTAGGCGTTTATATTACTTAAGTTCCAGCTTTGGAACAGATGACTCTAGCAATATGTAATTCTCTGATACGATTTCTTCTAGCTAATGAAGTGTGTATTTTCCAAGGCTATGCTAATCCAAGGGAACAACCTTTAGGTTGAAAGATTCTTTTTCAGGAAGTAAAATTTGAGAGGGAACAACCTTCCAACAGGTACTTACTACAAGATGGGAAGGACCAACATAACTAAAACCACGGCTGCGACTCTGGTGAACACTCTTGAAGATCCAGGTTGTAACCTCGGTGAATTTCCTGTATCAATCATCACAGGGAACTCACAAAGTTCATCAGATGGATCTTCATCTGTGATCAAACCCAACCCCAAGAAATCGCAGTCCCAGGTTTTCTGATCGTGCATCTGATAATACATGTTAAAGGCATATGAAGCATTGCCTATAGCAGTAAGATGGTTACAAGAGGATCCATACCCAAGTGCTGTGCAATCAGATAAGCTACAAGCATAGTCGATATTATCAGGCAAGTCATCGAGGTTATATGCATTAGGGTCAAGAACACACCAAGTTTTTGGCAGATACTTAACATCTTCCACAGGAACCAAAGGCTTGTCATTGCCTTTACCCGACAAGTCAAGCTCGTATTTCGGTCTCCCATCAAACTCAAAGATCCCCCAATGTCTCTCAAAAGTCCCCGGTGCTATACTCTTGGCGTCCTCATCGACAAGGCTGAAAAGGTAAACATCCATAATCACTCCTTTCCTCGCAGGCGTTCCATTTCCAGACATAGCATGCTTTACCATTCCCTGATTGAATCTCTTTGCACTCGTTAAATTAGCATTCTTGTCTCCATCTGTAGGCCATCCGACTTCTCCCACGATGATCTTCATCCCCAAGAAGCTATATTTCTCCATAGCACAAATCAAAGTGTCGAGATTCGCATCAAACACATTAGTGTAGACCAAATTTCCATCTTTCAAAGACTTGTTAGTCCCATCAAAGAAGGCAAAGTCCAAAGGAAAGTAAGCATTTCCATAGAGACTAAGAAAAGGGTATATGTTAACCGTAAATGGCGAATCATGTGAATACAGGAAATTGACTATCTCGATCGTTGCATCCCTAAGCTCAGGCCTAAAGTCTCCAGCTGATGGAACCGGGTTCGCTTCAGGAGAAAAATAGATGTCAGCGTTGAAAGGAACAGTGACTTTCACACCTTTCAAATCAGCTTCCTCTAATGCTCGTTGGATGTTGATAAGAGCTGGTAAAGTGTACTCAACGTAAGTTCCATTATATGTCTGAAGAAAAGGCTCGTTTCCAACAGCTATGTACTTGATGTTGACTCCACCGTTGTAAGAATAAGCAGTAACGTTTTCTTCAACCCATGAAGCTGCTACAGATGTATCTTGAGCCAATTCTTTAAGAAACCGGTTTGGTATTCCGATCATGACTTCGATCTCTGAGCCAATTAGAGCGTCTAAGATGTTTTGGTCTGCTTCAAACAGTTTCAGCTTAGTGAAACCATTGTCTTGTAACATCTTCACTACCTTTTCTGGTGGAAGCTGGTGACTCGCCATTGTTCCCCAGTTAACTCCTACACTACTAGTGTTGCTTGAGGCAATGGAAACTTGTGAGATGATAAGAAAGGAACAAAGAATAATCTGATGATAATAGAAGTGGTTTGTTGTCAACTTTGATCTCATTTCTGCCATTTTTTTCTCTGTTGATGAGTCTTTTTTCTTCTTCTTCTTTATGGGAGTTTTTCTTAAGGGAGAAGATGAAATGTGATTGGATATTTGTGATTTGTCCTTAGTTCAGTTAAAGAAGCAGACACAACATGCAAAATAGCCATTGGCTTTGTTGTGTGAAAACACTTTGTGCATGCCTCTCTGATAATCCACATGGCATTATTGACTCACCACAAATTCTTATGTTATTCTAGATGTTTCGTATTTGTTGTGTCAAACAAACACACACACATAAGTATTATTCAAACTTAATTAGTTTAACATAAGTATTTTATTCAAACTTCTTCATTTTTTGAGTATTCAAACTTTAACAATGAAGAAGAGAAGGGAACTTTTATTTTATCCGGGTCGGGTAGTGCCTGAAAACCGGTCCGTTTATAGTTACAATGAAGCCCGGTTAATAGATAGATTGGCCCAAACCCCAAACAATTAGAAATTCATTATTATAAACAAACTGTTTTTTTTTTGCACAATTGAGGCAAAAAAATAGTTTGTGTAATTCGAAAATGATTTATTAAAAAATGCTAAAATCCTAATTACTTTTTTTTTTTTTTTTTTTTTGTTGTCATCAACATTAGAGGACTGTGAAATTGTGAATTGCAGCATAGTCGTCGTCTTCTGGCGGGAAAAGAAGCCCTAGAAAAGGTGAAAGGTGAAAGCTTTTCTTCATCTTCTTCTACTTCAGAGTGACTGTGAGAGAGATGCATTGGATTACGACGAGAAACGCCGTCGTTTCATTCCCCAAATGGCGATTCTTCTTCCGCTCCTCATATCGCACTTACTATTCCCTCAAACCCTCCTCCCCAATTCTACTGTAATCCTCTCCTTTGTATAATCTTCTCAATAATATGTTACCAAGTTTAGATTTTTTTGTATTTTGTGAATTCCAGTAATTTTGAATATTGAACTCAGTCGGCTCTTTGATTATGTGATTGGGGAATTAAACATGAGTTCTTCTGTTTTTACGAGCTCAATTTCCTTGATTTCGGTGTTTGGACTTGTCAAGGTTGTTGGTCTAGTTCTTGTTATGAAACTGTTTTTGTTTTTGTATTGACAGTAATAGAAGGTACTCTGAGGGGATATACTGTCTCAGAGATGGAAAGTCTCTTAAAGGAATCACAACGGCTTCTAAGAAAGTCAAGACATCAAGTGATGTTCTCACTGACAAAGATCTCTCTCATTTGGTTTGGTGGAAGGAGGTAAAGCTTGTTTTTTTTTTCACATGCTCTTCTTGGATTACTATTGATGATACAACTTGACTGATGCACACAATCACGATATAGATATACTGATTTTTTATTCTGTGTCTACTCAGAGATTGCAGACATGTAAGAAACCATCTACTCTTCAGCTTATTGAAAGGCTTATGTATACCAATTTACTGGGTTTGGACCCTAGCTTGAGGAATGGAAGGTCAGTTCTCTTTCTGAGACTATTAGAAGATCTCATCTCACTTTCTAGATGTCAGCCTTTAATCATTTTTTTAGCTTGGTTATGAAATGACAAGGAGCTAGTAATGTATATCTTAGTATGACTCAACATTCTTCCTTGACGGAGATTTATTAAGAATCAGAAAGATGTTTGGAGCCTCATATTTTAAGTTGTAAGGCTGTAAGCAATTGAGTTGGAAACAATTCATTAGTTCTCATCCCAGTTGTCCTATTGGTTTATGGTTACTTTGTGCCTTTGTGGTTTTTATTTTTGCAATATTTTGGATTTTTTTCATTTCAGTTTAAAAGATGGAAACCTCAACTGGGAGATGTTTCAGTTTAAGTCAAGGTTTCCCCGCGAAGTTTTGCTCTGCAGAGTATGTTGCTCTTTCTCTTATGTTCCCTTTGTAGTTAACTTTTTCTGCTTTTCTAATCCCATGCGTTTTTTGATCTTTGTTACTTCCAATTAGTGGAATGATGGCATTTAAAGTCTCATCTTAGAAGAATTTTGCTGCATTCGTTTATTTTTCCCAGGTGGGAGACTTTTATGAGGCTATTGGAATAGATGCTTGTATACTCGTTGAATTTGCTGGTCTAAATCCTTTTGGTGGTCTTCGATCAGACAGTGTTCCAAAGGCTGGCTGCCCAGTTGTGGTACACAATCCTTTTTGAATTTTAAGCATACTCCATTTAGTGAATCAAAATAATTTGTTCTTCCAATAAAATAAACTAATTAGTCTCTGGTATTATCTTGAAAAAAAAAACTGGTTATTAAGAGGACAGCCAAATGTTCTTAAGGGCAAATAAAGATAGAACATCACCGTTTCTTAATATTTGCCTTCAGTAAAGTATAATCTGTTTTGATTCTATTTAGTCTCTGAAAGTTGTAGTTGGCAAGTTATATAAATTGCTGCTTTAGTTGCCGTTGCTTCTTACACGAAATCAAATTGTGGTGCTTTTTGTTGGATAGCAAACTTATTTTCTGCTACAATTTCTCATTCTTACTCTTCCCTTAAGACCTTTGTTCTCTACAACTAATTTTTCCTTTCCCGCAAATTCTTGCTCTCAATCCAGTCTATAATTTTTCTTTATTTCTGCAGAATCTTCGACAGACTTTGGATGACCTGACACGCAACGGTTATTCGGTGGTGAGTTGAGAAAGAAAATTCGTTATCATATTTTTATTTCTCTTAAGCATGTTGAATACTTCTATATGGTAATATGACTATTTCTGCGTGTTTTGTTCGTGACTGTAGTGCATTGTGGAGGAAGTTCAGGGGCCAACACAAGCGCGTTCTCGTAAAGGTCGATTTATTTCAGGGTATAATAATTTACAATCCCTAACTTTCTGATCTCACAAGCAGCAATATTCATTGTCCTATTTTCTAGGAAAGCACGTTGAAACTTTTCTTTCCTTGATATTTATCTTTCTGACATGTACGCTTGTATGTATATAGGCATGCACATCCAGGAAGTCCTTATGTATATGGGCTTGTTGGTGTTGACCACGATCTTGACTTTCCTGAACCTATGCCTGTTGTTGGTAAGTATTTCTTATGGTATGTTGTTAGTCAGTGAAATATTATTTTGCGCCCTAATTACAACCTATTCAAGATTTCAAGTTTTTTTTGTTTATAAGTATTACATGACTTGATTTTTTCTGTGAGTACAGGGATATCTCGTTCAGCAAGGGGGTATTGCATGATATCTATTTTCGAGACTATGAAAGCATATTCGCTAGATGATGGTCTAACAGAAGAAGCCTTGGTTACTAAGCTCCGCACCCGTCGCTGTCATCATCTATTCTTACATGCATCGTTGAGGCACAATGCATCAGGTTTTGTATACAATCTCTACATTGTATTAGCACCTCTGAACTGTGAAGATAATGCCAAATGTGGACAGTGTGCCATTTTATCGTCACATGAACATAAGTACGCCCAGGTGGCAGCATATGATCTAGCAGTATTCATGATTTTTTCAGCTTAATTAGCTTTGAGTTTTATTGTCTTTTATGATAACAATTCTTGAAAATTATGGTATGCAGGGACGTGCCGCTGGGGAGAGTTTGGGGAAGGGGGTCTACTCTGGGGAGAATGCAGTGGCAGGAATTTTGAATGGTTTGAAGGAGATACCCTTTCTGAGCTCTTATTAAGGGTCATAACTACAAACTTTGGCTGCTGTTAAATTTGCAATTTGCTTGTGACATTTCAGTTTTGTGAAAAATCAAATATTTACTTCTTTTTTTTCTCTTACAGGTCAAAGATGTTTATGGTCTTGATGATGAAGTTTCCTTTAGAAATGTCAATGTACCTTCAAAAAATCGGCCACGTCCTTTGCATCTTGGAACGGCTACACAAATTGGTTAGATAGTACTTCTTGGTGAATTGTTGTAGGAATTTTAGGAGTTTTGGAATGGTAAAGCATGCTAATATATATAATGTGGTACTGCAGGTGCCTTACCCACTGAAGGAATACCTTGTTTGTTGAAGGTGTTACTTCCATCTACGTGCAGTGGTCTGCCTTCTTTGTAAGCAATTTTTATGAAATAGAAAGGAAAATTGGCTATATTCTTCGAAGTATCATCTTAGCTGATATCTTTAAAGAAAATTGGTACCTCCTTTGATGCCTTTATTCTTTCAGGTACGTCCGAGATCTTCTTCTAAATCCTCCTGCTTATGACATTGCTCTGAAAATTCAAGGTAATTTGACCAATGTGGAAAATTTTCTTAGTTTATTCCCTTGTAGATTTCTTTATGATTTAGGGCTACTCATTCAGCCTACAAAATCATTGTTATTTGCAGAAACGTGCAAGCTCATGAGCACAGTAACTTGCTCAATTCCGGAGTTTACCTGCGTCGCTTCTGCTAAGGTTTTTAGTCACTTGCTAAAAATTACCTTTCTCATTGTGATCTTTTGTGACTATAGCAGCATATGCAAAACTTCCGGGTTACCAGCTATCAGTTACTGACTCTAACAAATGCATGGGCAGTTTCTAACTTCTATATACACCTTTTTTGCAGCTTGTGAAGCTTCTAGAGCAACGTGAAGCCAACTACATTGAGTTCTGCCGAATAAAAAATGTTCTTGATGAAGTATTACATATGTATAAACATGCTGAGCTTGTGGAAATCCTGAAATTATTGATGGATCCTACCTGGGTGGCTACTGGTTTGAAGATTGACTTTGAAACTTTTGTAAGTTTATGCATCTAAGCACGACTCAGAGTTTATATTTGCATGTTTGTTTTGTTATATGTTTTCCTTAATGATGAGTACGTACCTATCCCTTGACACAAGCTCAAGAAGAAGCATTTCAGTTGATGCAATTTTTTTTGCTAATCTATCTAGTTATATGAAATTCTGGGTTCTTCAGCTGATGAGTATGTGTATAAGTTCAAGTTTTTGTTTTCTTGCCAGGTCAACGAATGTCATTGGGCTTCTGATACAATTGGTGAAATGATATCTCTAGATGACAATGAAAGTCATCAGAATGTTAGTAAATGCGCTAATGTTCCGAATGAGTTCTTTTATGATATGGAGTCTTCATGGCGAGGTCGCGTAAAGGGAATTCATATAGAGAAAGAAATCACTCAAGTGGAAAAATCAGCTGAGGCTTTATCTTTAGCTGTAAGTAATCGAGAATTGAAGCTTATTTCTTTTAGTGATAAACTGATAATAGATGGTCCTGTACGTGTTATTGTTTTTACTTCAATATAATGGTACTGGTGATCTTGTCTTACTCATAAGAAACAAAACATCCGTGTGTAGGTTGCTGAGGATTTTCTCCCTATTATATCAAGAATTAAGGCCACCACTGCTTCACTTGGTGGCCCGAAGGGCGATATTGCATATGCAAGAGAGCATGAGTCTGTTTGGTTCAAGGGGAAACGGTTTACACCATCTATTTGGGCTGGTACTGCAGGGGAAGACCAAATTAAACAGCTGAAACCTGCTTTCGACTCGAAAGGAAAAAAGGTTGGAGAAGAATGGTTTACAACCCCAAAGGTGGAAGCTGCTTTAGTCAGGTTGTTTTCCTATTTTAATGAACATTCCATTAGATATTTTATTCAATAATATACTGGGTAGATATTGATGTCATATTATGCTTTTGTTGCAGATACCATGAAGCTAGTGAGAATGCAAAAACTCGAGTGTTGGAACTGTTGCGCGAGTTATCTGTTAAATTGCAAACAAAAATAAATGTTCTCGTCTTTGCATCTATGCTTCTGGTCATTTCAAAAGCATTATTTGCTCATGCTTGGTAAGTTTCCTCTTTAATCAATTCCCACGAAGAAATTTCTGTAGTTTTAATTTTAAGTACTGTGCACAACTGCAGTGAAGGGAGAAGGCGAAAGTGGGTTTTTCCAACGCTTGTCGGATTCAGTACAGACGAGGTAACTATGCTTGCTAGTCGTTGAAGTTTGTAGACAGATACGTGCAATTTCTAAGACGTCACGAAACATGCTGGGCTGTCTTATTCTTATATCTCATGTTTTTCTCACCTATTTTGATATATGTTAATACAGGGCGCAAAACGATTAGATGGTGCCAGTCGAATGAAGCTGACAGGCCTATCACCTTATTGGTTTGATGTATCTTCTGGAACCGCTGTTCACAATACTGTTGACATGCAATCACTGTTTCTTCTAACTGGCCCTAACGGTGGTGGTAAATCTAGTTTGCTCAGATCAATATGCGCAGCTGCTCTACTTGGAATTTCCGGTTTAATGGTTCCAGCTGAATCAGCTTCTATCCCTCACTTTGATTCCATCATGCTTCACATGAAATCCTATGACAGCCCTGTAGACGGAAAAAGTTCTTTCCAGGTATATATATAAGCATACAAATCTAGAATTCACCAAACTGATTTTTTTTTTTCCAATTGTTATGTTTGATATCCTCTCAACTGGTTCTGTGCCATCAGGTAGAAATGTCGGAAATACGATCTATCGTAAGCCAGGCTACTTCGAGAAGCCTAGTGCTTATAGACGAGATATGCCGAGGGACAGAGACAGCAAAAGGCACATGTATCGCTGGTAGTGTGGTAGAGAGCCTTGACACAAGTGGTTGTTTGGGTATTGTATCTACTCATCTCCATGGAATCTTCAGTTTACCTCTTACAGCGAAAAACATCACATATAAAGCAATGGGAGCTGAAAATGTCGAAGGGCAAACGAAGCCAACTTGGAAATTGACAGATGGAGTCTGCAGAGAGAGTCTTGCGTTTGAAACAGCTAAGAGAGAAGGCGTTCCCGAGACAATCATCCAAAGAGCCGAAGCTCTTTACCTCTCGGTCTATGCAAAAGATGCATCATCTGAAGTTGTCAAACCCGACAAAATCGTAACTGCATCCAACAATGACCAGCAGATCCGCAAACCAGTCAGCTCTGTGAGAAGTTTGGAGAAGGACTTGGCAAAAGCTATCGTTAAAATCTGTGGGAAAAAGATGATTGAGCCTGAAGCATTAGAATGTCTTTCAATCGGTGCTCGTGAGCTTCCACCTCCATCTACAGTGGGTTCCTCATGTGTATATGTGATGCGTAGACCCGATAAGAAATTGTACATTGGACAGGTACACTCTTACCATATCAATATTAGTTAACTTCCCTTAGAATAGACAGAAAATCAAAGTAATTGAGTCTGAAGATTCCTGTTATGAAACTACAGACGGATGATCTTGAAGGACGAATACGTGCACATCGAGCAAAGGAAGGACTGCAAGGGTCAAGTTTTCTATACCTTATGGTGCAAGGTAAGAGCATGGCTTGTCAGCTAGAGACTCTTCTGATTAACCAACTCCATGAACAGGGATATTCTCTGGCTAACCTAGCCGATGGAAAGCACCGGAATTTCGGAACATCCACAAGCTTGAGTGCATCAGATGTAGTCAGTATCTCATAGTTTGAAACATTAGCTGTAGTATGTAGTATGTTTGTAATTGATCATCTCTCTGTACAATTGCACCAGTTAGTCCACTAGAACTAGAGTAGATTACTACAACTAAGAATGCATGCCGTTTTCTTTTTGAGATTTTGTCAAACGGCACGCAGTTCAGGCAATCGGATGCAGCAATTACCAATTTTGGGTCAATCGGTGTAATTGTCGTTACAGTAATGTAATCTTTTTAACAAAACTCAGCACTAATGTCATGCATTAACCATATGAATATGACAATATATAGTAACCGGACATTGGACCAGCCTTTTTGATGGTTTAACTCCAATTGTAAGTTAACCGGGTTCAGAACAGACGTGGTTATCTCCGATATTAAAAAACAAATTTTACGTTAAACTACGTCGTTTTAGTTTATACTCTTTTTTTTTCATCTTCTTCCCCAGAATCGAATTTTGAGATCTCCTCCGATCGATTTTGATCTCCAACACTCTCTGCTTCGTCAATTACGGTGTCCACAGAGATCCGATTTCGTTCTCTCTCTTTCTCTACTGTTCTCCAATGTAAGTTTTGTGTCTGTAGTGTTTCAAATTGTTCTAAAAATCTTCAGTTTTATGATTTATATATAGTTTGCAGTTGAGACATGGATGAGGTTGTTGTTGAAGTGGAGAAGACGAAGAGAGAATGGGAAGAAGCGTACGAGAAGACGATTGAACATATCATGGCGATTCAAGAGTACGGTAAATCAAGGAGAGGAGATGGAGGAGAAGAGAGGATTTCGCTACAGAGGCTCAACGGATTGGCTCAGGATGGTCTCTCTCTTCTCAATTCTCTTCAATTCAATTTGGATCTTCTCGCGCCTCAGCTTCCTTCTGATGATCAGGTTCAATCCACTCAGTCACTGCTTGAAACCTGGAAGAATCAATATCACAGGTATTGTTTGATTCAAATCATTTGTGGAATCTACAACATTTCAGAAGTCGAATAAAGGAACAATGCATTTGTACAACGATGATCGTCTTTAGGCAGTTGAGTAATTCAATTCTATAGGACAAATGATGTGATATAGTGGGTTTAACCTTGGCTTAGGGGTACTTGAGTCATCGTTGATCCTGTTTTCAATGCTATATGAGTGTTTTTAAGTATTTCCTTGAGCTTGAGTTTGATCTCAATTACTTAGAATTCTGGTACAGCCAGAGAGTTAGTGTATGAGTTCAGGGAAAGATAAATGGGTGAATACTAATTTGAGTTTTGTCATTGTGTTTGAGGTCAGTTTGAGGGTAAACCTGAGAAGTGCTAATTTGCAAGCTAAGGATAACATGAGGAAAGCAGCTCAAGAAGAGGTAAAGTCTCATGGCTTAAGCATTCTCTCTCTGCTGCTGTTTTTACCAGCCATCTCCTTTGAAATTTTTGTATAAAGAGAGGCTTACAATGATTGTAGAGAGAGCTTCTCCTTGGTGGTGGAACAGAGTCCACAGTTCTCAGACGTAAACGACAGTATGTACTTCTTGGAAACTCTGCTATATCTATCCTACTATACCCAGCCTTTCAATTGGGTTTCCTGTTGAAAATGTTTAACTTGTATTATGATTTTGTTTATTTGTAAACGGAATCATGCACTAAAAAAAGAGTTCAGTGTTAATTCTCAGTGAATCTAACATTTTTGGTTGTTTGTAGAGCAAATGCTGGCGTGACATCGGATGCTGAAAGCATAACTGAAAGTCTCAGGCGTTCACGGCAGCTGATGGTTCAGGTCAGAAATGAAGGGATTGTGCATTTACACCTTGTTTGTATTTTCGGCTTATTAATATATAAACGAAAGTTGTCTGATCAAATATTCTCTCTTGACTTGTTGGGTTACAGGAGGTTGAAAGAAGTACAAACACTCTCGTGGCTTTTGGTATGTCATTCATAATATGCCAGATAATTAAGTTCTTAGTGAAAACAGGTTAAGACATAAAACTGACTTATTATCCATGTTTACATTTGTAGATGAATCTACTGGAGTACTTAAAAAAGCCGAGAGTGAATACAAAGGTCATAGGTCTCTGTTGTCGAGGACCCGTAATCTACTTTCGACAATGCAGCGTCAAGATGTAATTGACAGGTATTTGAAAAGAGAATAGACTCTGTTTTACCAAACCATTCTATAGGTGAATAATAATAATAACTAACTCTTGTTTCCGGTGGCACTGTCAACAGGATAATCCTCATAGTTGGATTTTCTCTCTTTGTCTTTGCTGTTGTTTACGTTGTTTCAAAGCGCATCGGAATTCTCAAACTGCAACGAATGGCCACTGCTGCTATTAAAGCTCAATTAGCTGGAAAAGGAGCAAATGGTGTAGGAGATAATGTTATGCCTCTCGGACAACAGTTTGATGGCAATACAATTCCAACTGTTAACATTCCTCTACAACAACGCATGCACGATGAACTCTGAAGCTCATTAGATGCTTGTAACATTGTTCATGAATCTATATATATATTACAAGTTGATGTTGTTACCTAGGAATGCTCTATCTATAACATTTATTCAGGCTTCTTATTTTAAATTATGTCCATGTATAGATTAGACATTTTAAGAACTGAGAAACATATATAGAGGAATGGAGAAATTTATAGTGGGAAAAGAAAAGAAAAATTGTGGTAGCTAGACTTACTTTGTCGAATATATGAGGTACGATTTCTCGTAATCACATTCACAATATATATATATATATATCCTATACTATTATTTGGGGAGTACACTTTATAAGATACCCTTAACTAACCTTTCCTTTTGTAAAAATTTACTTAAGAATGCCATTAGAAATAAAATTTTATAGAGTAAATTAATTCAACTCATTAAGGATAAACAAGTCAAATACTATTTTATGCAATTTAATTAATTTAATTTAATTATAAAAACGAAAATCTATTATTAATTTTTTTTAAAAGAATGACCAATCAAAATGAACATATAAGATTTGATATCTAACTTATCACATTAATTTGTTATTAATCATTATAGTTCACCTCTCATCTTTATATTATTTTATTTCTATAAAATAAATAAATTATTATATCATCTTCATAATAAAAAAAAAGTAAATTTTTTCCGGATATACAAAGATTTGAATTTTTAAAAACGAATAAAAATTGTTCAATGTATGAAAGAACAAATTTAACGGGTCAAAAATTCATATTTGAGTAATATATTCCTTTTTTTAATATCATCAATACTTAATAGATCAAAAAGTTAAGAAATACAAATACTCTAATTTGATTTTTTGAAACAAATATTTATAATAGGTGGCGGGTTAAATATAATGTATTATATGATGAAATGAGTTATGATCCTTATAACTATTTGAATATTTATATTTAATTTCATATATATATATATATTTTTAAATTCATAATTTTACATACTACAATAAATTTTTTAACGATTTTAATCTGGAACATTTAAAAAAAGTTTAATTTAATATATTAAAGAATATCATAAATATTTAATAGAATAAAAAGATAAAAAAAAATTATAAATACTAATTTGATTTTCTAAAAAGATATGTTTAATATATTTATAGTAGGCGACAGGTTAAAAGTAATGTATTATATGATAGAAAGTTATGATCCTTATAATAGACGACATTTTAAGATTTTATGATGAGATGAGTTAAATAAGGTTTGACACTTCTAAATATTTGAAAATTTAATTCTGCAAGCAATTTTGGAAATAATGAATAATAGATTGTGCCACAATATTTTCATAGGGATTGTAAAATGAAAATATAGACTCCACACACGGATCGAATTTGGTATTATTATATACCAAATATATGTTCATAACATATTCGATTATGTGAATAATTGGTAAATTCCGTAATTAGCTCAAACAAATCTCTATTTCAACAACCAATGAATTAGAATTTGAAAAAATAATTTCCTAAATTAATTCAAAATAATAGCTAACTTTTTTAACTAATTCAAAATAATCTACGTTTTAGATGCGATTCATTTATGATATTTTGATTTTTAATCTAACTAAATTATATGCACTCTCATTTTGTGGTTGTTAACATAAATTAACTCATTGTTCAAACAATATTATTTTTTTGAAAATAATATTATTTTCCGTTTTCATATCTTTAAAAAATATATCCATAATTGAGGATTACAGAAAAATAAAAATATATTCATTCTAATATTATATATATGGACAATTAATAATATTATCCATAATATTAATATTATACAATTAATAATGATAGACTATTTGAACATTATTGTTAAAAATGTGGCCGATTATATATATAGGGGATTTGGGGCCGCAAGCACAAGCTTGCCTTGCTTGGCCTCATGGCCGGCTCTGGTCTAAATTTTATACGCTTTACTTAAAATTAATTGTATGATCTGAATTTGGTTATAGATTCGCGTGTTTTTGCTCGACTACAATAGATTCATATCCTCTCTTGTAGATTGTGAAAACATGCCAAGAAATTGTTTTATTCACCTTTTCAACCACTGAAACACTTGATCCTTTGTCACCTCTCTATTTACCGCAGATTGGCTAAAGAGGTCAGTAAAAAGAAAATAAATTCTTAATCAAGTTGAAGAGGTAGCTGATAAGGATATGGATATCGATATGGAAGGTGGTAGCAAAGTGAAAATCTTGGGTGTGGGAGCAGGTGGCATCACAGCTCGAGTCCATGAAAGAGTATATAAATTTTTGCTAATCTTATAACATTCAATCACCAAATGTTGATTTGAATATTGTTTTATTTTGATGTGACGTATCACATAAGGCTCATTAACGAGATTTTTACATTCTTATATGTATTTTAGTATGAGCTTTAATAGAATATATATATCTAGATTATGTATTATCATATTTTGAGAATAAAATTATAAATATTTCTGGTCATCGACAGTTTAAAATTCTTACCAAAATGCAATATAAACTAAGAAACAAAAGATTTGTTTGATCTTCGATCGCCTCTGGGATGTTTGGAACTCTTCTTATGAAGTTGGACTTATGATACCATAAGAAGCAGTAGCACTAATTAATCAGGTTCTTTCTCACATGATCCTCATCTCAATCACATAAATTGCATAGCTAATACATGTGAATAAATTTATATTCTTATATATGTGAAGTCTATCATTAGTGTTTGATCAATAAATAATGAGCTTTAAGATAATAGCCTCAAAATAATAAACTTTTTAGTAAAGGGAATGAACCAATCAACGATGAGTTGACATAATGGTTAAGCTCCTTGATTACCAAAAACATAGGAATTTTAGTGGTTACGGGTACGAGTCGCGTTGAGAAGAGTCTATTCTCTAAAAGAAAGTAAAGTTATATTACATGGTCTAGGCCTCGCCATAGGATATAAAGGAATGAATTGATTTCAAAGATTTCAATACATAAAATTTAACATTTATATTCTTCTATAAAATATATTCTTAATCTTTTTTGTCTAAAATATATAAATTTAATGAATCACATTAGTCGGTAATAAAATTTTAGTGGTAAAATTAGTGAATTGAGAATAATTAAAAATGGGCTTAATATAAGTGACAAAGGTTTTAAAAGAATATAAGTGACAAAAAATATTAAATAATTTATTTGGTGATGTCGTAGTGGTATAAAATAAAGAAAGTATTTATAATAAATTAATTATATCAAAACAACTTAGCATTAGTAAAAATATACAAATATATAAATAAAAATAATCTACTACTTACCGCATTCGCATGTGTAGTATTTGTTTGCACCTCTATTTCTACTCTCTTTTGATTAATTATACAAAAGTTGTATATAGACGATAAATCCTATACTATTATTTGGGGAGTACACTTTATAAGATACCCTTAACTAACCTTTCCTTTTGTAAAAATTTACTTAAGAATGCCATTAGAAATAAAATTTTATAGAGTAAATTAATTCAACTCATTAAGGATAAACAAGTCAAATACTATTTTATGCAATTTAATTAATTTAATTTAATTATAAAAACGAAAATCTATTATTAATTTTTTTTAAAAGAATGACCAATCAAAATGAACATATAAGATTTGATATCTAACTTATCACATTAATTTGTTATTAATCATTATAGTTCACCTCTCATCTTTATATTATTTTATTTCTATAAAATAAATAAATTATTATATCATCTTCATAATAAAAAAAAAGTAAATTTTTTCCGGATATACAAAGATTTGAATTTTTAAAAACGAATAAAAATTGTTCAATGTATGAAAGAACAAATTTAACGGGTCAAAAATTCATATTTGAGTAATATATTCCTTTTTTTAATATCATCAATACTTAATAGATCAAAAAGTTAAGAAATACAAATACTCTAATTTGATTTTTTGAAACAAATATTTATAATAGGTGGCGGGTTAAATATAATGTATTATATGATGAAATGAGTTATGATCCTTATAACTATTTGAATATTTATATTTAATTTCATATATATATATATATTTTTAAATTCATAATTTTACATACTACAATAAATTTTTTAACGATTTTAATCTGGAACATTTAAAAAAAGTTTAATTTAATATATTAAAGAATATCATAAATATTTAATAGAATAAAAAGATAAAAAAAAATTATAAATACTAATTTGATTTTCTAAAAAGATATGTTTAATATATTTATAGTAGGCGACAGGTTAAAAGTAATGTATTATATGATAGAAAGTTATGATCCTTATAATAGACGACATTTTAAGATTTTATGATGAGATGAGTTAAATAAGGTTTGACACTTCTAAATATTTGAAAATTTAATTCTGCAAGCAATTTTGGAAATAATGAATAATAGATTGTGCCACAATATTTTCATAGGGATTGTAAAATGAAAATATAGACTCCACACACGGATCGAATTTGGTATTATTATATACCAAATATATGTTCATAACATATTCGATTATGTGAATAATTGGTAAATTCCGTAATTAGCTCAAACAAATCTCTATTTCAACAACCAATGAATTAGAATTTGAAAAAATAATTTCCTAAATTAATTCAAAATAATAGCTAACTTTTTTAACTAATTCAAAATAATCTACGTTTTAGATGCGATTCATTTATGATATTTTGATTTTTAATCTAACTAAATTATATGCACTCTCATTTTGTGGTTGTTAACATAAATTAACTCATTGTTCAAACAATATTATTTTTTTGAAAATAATATTATTTTCCGTTTTCATATCTTTAAAAAATATATCCATAATTGAGGATTACAGAAAAATAAAAATATATTCATTCTAATATTATATATATGGACTGACATAAAAAAAATGAATATTTTTTTATTTACTATTATAATATATCACGATTTTATTCTATAACTACATAATATATAAATTTTGTAATAAATGAAATTCAACCCGTACTGTAGTACGGGTGATGATCTAGTATATATATATATATATATATATATATATATATATTCTTACCGCATTATCTTATTTACACAGTGATTAGCATATTATTCGGATATGTGTTTCATAAGGTATGTATATTATTATGTATTGAACCGGTTTAACAACTTATTGTATGTGTCAATAATTAAATATAGTTATGTTATTCATATATAATTAATAAAAATGATCCACAAGAAGAAATATAAATATCGTATATAATTTTAGTTAGTTTATCATGGCTCTAATTGGTGACAACTTATAAAGCCGTACAAAGCTGTACAATAATATTATTACCATTCAAAAAACTTTATCAAAAAACTGTACACAATAACAAAAACAGGTTTTTTTTTTGGATAAAAATAAAACAAACAGTTTAAAAATTATATCAAATTAAAATTATCTCTCCACTATCTTCTAGGCATGACCACAGTTACAATTATTACGGTTACGGTTAATTAACCACCGCTTACGATTATAAACTTTTTTTAATCGTAATCTTAACCATTATATATACGGTTACGCTTAAATACGGTTACGGTTATAACGGTTACGGTTAAATACGGTTACGGTTATTTGATGATTACGATACGGTTAATATCGGAGGTAAAATCTTACGAGTTATCTAACTTTTTGTACTACTTTTTACAGTTAACGGTTACGGTTTTTAATTGTTTCATACGGTTACGGTTAAGAAACGGTCCGGTCACGGTCTGAAATACGGTTACGATTAGCTTTTGGTCATGCCTTCTATCTTCAATTAGGCATGACCAAAAGCTAACCGTAACTGTATTTTGGACCGTAACCGGACCGTTTCTCTACCGTAACTATATAAACGGTTAAAAACCATAACCATTAACCGTAAAACTAGATTAGTTATGGTTAAAAAAATATAATAACCGTAACCGTTAATAAACTGGAAACGTATCAAAACCGTTATTTTATTTTTGCGGTTAAAAAAATATTCTAACAATAAAATAATATTGTTCATTTTGTATAATTTTAATTTTTTCATAGCCATTTAATTGTCATCACATAATTTTAAATTTTCATATGTAATTATATACTAAAATATATTTCTATGTAATTTTTTTTCTACACTCTTAATATTATTTATTATTTGTACCGCTATAATATTTTCAATTAGAGTAAATTTTTAAAATTTGTTATGCTTTGTTTTTTTTGTACAGCTTTCGTATATTATTCTTTCGTACAACTTTGCACTATTTCCTAACAGCTAATAGCGTTAGCTAACATGTTTAGGTTACCAATCGGACCCAAAATCTTTTTTAAAGCGTTTATTCAGACAGTGAAGAGAAGAGAACATAGAGAGAAAGAAAAAACACAGAGAGAGTTGAAAAATAAAGAAAACACAGAGCCTTCTTCTCCATCTCTCCGCTGACGATGAACGGCTTCATCTACAGCGTCGATCTCTTAGATCTAACGGCTCGGGATGTCGATCCATACAGTTGATCCTTGGACCGTCGATTACAATCAATCGACGGTCATGATTCACTCTGATCATCACAATGCAATGCTTCACTGGGATTGAGGTAGTCTCTCTCTGTTTACTAACTAACTAACTGTCTCTTCGTTTATTCTCTGTCAGTTTCTAACCTTTCTATTCTCAAACCCTAAAATCGCTTCCATGGCAGACTTGAACAGCTACAAGGGAAAATTCGCAGAAGCTCTTCTTAATCCGGAGCATTCTCGTTTCTTACCTACACTCGTTGCCTCAGCTATTGCTAAGGAGCTTGAGATGACCGTTTCGGAACTTAAGATGCTCAATCTCCATGCGATTGTTGGTCACGAGTTAGGATCTGAGTTCTTCAAGAATCTATCTTTCAGATTGAGTGAAATGGAGAAGAACAAGGATCTTAGTGGTGAGAATCTGTCTCTCCAGCTACGTCTTGTGATCAATCCGCAGAGAATGAAGTCAATGATCATTGATTCTCCAACTTTTGGGTAAGTTTTTGATTTCTTAGGGTTCGTGTTCTAGCTTATCTCTCACTTGGCTCTAAACTTTTTTTTGTTTTTGATTGTAATTGTAGTGTGGAATCATTATTCACATCACTACAATTCTTTGAATACATGAAGTCGGAACTTGCTATGGCTTTGAAGAATGATGGTTGCTTGCTAGACATTTTTTCTCAATCCTCCAAAATTGCTCCATTTGTTCAAAACCTTGTTCATGTGTTTAACTTCGATGAGCTTGAGCCATTACTAGGCATAATAGCAACCCATCTCCTTGATCTTGCAAATAAGGGTAACGGATTGAGCAATTTGAGGATGTTCTTGAAGCTTGGAAGCTCTCCAATTGTGGTCTCTTTCATCTCCCTTGTACCCCGTGTTCAAAAAATCGCTAGGCGCTAGTCGGGCGGTGAGGGTGCGCCTAGCGCCTAGCAAGAAAATCGGAGATTACACGGGGATTAATCGGGGATTAGTTTTAGGGTTATTTAATGTTTTAAAAATATATTAATCCATTATAAATAAGAAATTTATATAATCTTGTTTTTAAAATTGCATTAAACACATGAAAACAAGAATTTAAGGTCAAATTTATGATTTTTATAAAAAATTATGAATATAAGTGAGACGTTTTGAATTTTAGATCCAAAAAAAGAAAAAAAAATGTAAAAAAAAAAAAAAAAAATTTGGGCTAGGCGCCGTCTAGGCGGGCTAGGCGGACGCCTAGGCGGTCTAGGCGGACAAAAATCGGATCACCGATTTTTTTTACCGATTTGGACAAAATCGCCGCGGTCCCCACCCGATCAGCGCCTAGGCGGCCGCCTAGGCGGCCGCCTAGGCGGCTAGGCGGCCGATTTTTAGAACAAGGCTTGTACCTAACATTGTTGATATCGCATATGACAAGAATGGGTAATTTGCCTCTTTATATTCGTACATATGTCATCGTTCTTGAATTCTTTTGACATTTTAATGATACTCTTCTTTTTTGTAGTTGCCATTTGCTTCAGCTTCCGATAGCCTCCCACAAACCAGAGGTTGAGGCAATGTTGGTCCAAAAGATTTCCGGTTTATTTTTCCATTTTGCCACACACAAGTATGCGAATCATCTCGTACAATCTGCTGATGATTCTGGAACTGACTCTACCGCCTCATTCGTGATGGATAGCCTCTCTGGTGATTTTAGAATCTTGATGGATCATTGCTATGGTAACTATGTCCTCCAATCTATCATCTCAAGGTCTGCTTCTATTGATCTTCCATTGTTCTACTGCCTTTTTTCGAAGATTAAAAAGCGTCGGGTTAAACCGGAGGCTAATGTCTGGGGTAGGGAAGTTACTACAACCATGAAGAAGACTCTTCGATCCAAAGGTTTATCTCTCTCTTTTTGAGGAGCATCTAAGATGTTTTGGTCGGCTTCAAACAGTTGCAGCTTAGTGAAACCATTGTCTTGTAGCATCTTCACTACTTTCTCAGGTGACTCAGCCATCCCCAGTTCACTCCTATAGTGCTATACTAGTGTTGCTAGATGTAGTAGAAACAACTTGTGAAAAAAGAAAAAAAATACAGAGAATAATCTGATGAGAAAAGAAGCATTTGAAATTCATATGTAAAAATATAGTCCCAATAATATCATAAATTCTTTTGTATTGAACCCGTTTAACAACTTATGTGTCAATAATTAAATATAGCTAGTTTATTCATATACATATAATCATTGTTCTAAAAATGTCCGCCTAACTCTAATTACTCTCCGCTTAATCGCTAGGCCCATCCTATCCGTCTCATTAATGATTAATCCCCACCTAGAAATCAGTAACCCGATTACTCTCCGCCTAATCCGGCTTTTTCCCGTCTAATCCGATTACTCTCCGCATAATTTTGCATAATTTAATTATTTTTAGATTGCAAGTATTAAACAATTTTTCTTTTTATTATTCATACATTTAAATTGAGGGTTTCTAATGTTTTACAATAACTTATGTTCAAAATTTTCGTAAAAATCATAAAATTTTGTCTTAAAAATACATTTTTATGTGTTTACTATATTTTGAGAAAGTAATTAGATTAATTTGTTTTAAAACATTAAAATAACCCTAAAACTAATCCCCGATTAATTTTTGATTTTAATCCGATTTAATGATTAATAGCTAGGCCCATACCGAGCGTCCGACTAACGTCTAGCAATTTTTCGATCAAGGCATATAATTAATAAAACTGGTCCACAAGAAGAAATATATATACGTTCGTCAACTTGAGACTGATATGACGATGAAGAATTGAAAACACTTTTAATTAAATATAATGTGACCATATAAGTAAGAACAAGAATCAAATACATTATAAATGTTTAGGCCTAGCAAAAATAGGGGATCACGATCAACTTCTTTTAAGTGAATAATTATAATTGGAGAAGATGGCGTACGGACACACATGTTACAAAAATTAAAAGTCTCGTGTAGATGAAAAATGCCCCATATACCGCATCTTTAATTATTATTTAGACATAATAAGACAATGCTTTGTGATATATTCGTAGAAATAAGTATCTTAAAAGTCAAAATATGGTGCTATACTAATTTACTAGATTTTAATCCGCGGTTTTAGTTTTCGTGTTTTCGTTTTTCTCCCATTTTGCTCTTAACGTTTTTTTTATTTTTGATTGCAATTGTAGTTTGGATTCATTGTTTACATCACTTCAATTCTCGGAATTCATGAAACCAGAACTTATTTCCACTTTGAAGAATGGTTGCTCGGTAGACATCTTGTTTCAATCTTCCAAGATTGATCCATTTCTTCAAAAGTTTAAGGTAAGCTTGTTTTGCCTTTCCTTTCTCTTTGTTTAAAGAACTTAATATCAACTCTCAACTCCTCTTTTGTTTCTTTTCAGCCATTATTATCCATGATAGCAACCCGAATCCTCGATCTTGCAAATAACCGTAATGGATTGAACAATGTGAGATTTTCTTGAACCTTGCAAGCCCTCGGATTTTGGTCTCCTGCATAATGGCTAATTTTGGTTCTTCTATAATTTTTAATTGGATATTCTAAGTAAAACATGTTAAACCATACGTGATACGTACATATTAGACTTGGAGCTCTTTTGGGACATCGCAATTAATGTCGATTTTCTTAATACATGTTTACACGATGAATGAGTTGGAGCTGGAAATATACATATTTGCTTTTGGTTTTCGTAAATTGATTTGTTTTCCACTGAGATGTTCTGTTCTTTTAATTTTTATATGTGTTTTTCCTCCTTAATTTATCTGTTTTACATAACACAGATTTCGAGTTTATTTCACATATGTTTGTTTGTAAGGCTTGTTAACAAAACTGAAAATAACCCCACAAAATAAAACCTATGCGTATATCCAAAATTGGAAACGCATAGTGTTTTGAAAATTAAAGAAAATTGGAAATATTTACTCAAAATTTACATTATAAATATTTTATTTAGACTTAATTTAAACAGAAAATTCTTGGTATGTTAATATTTTATTTAGACCAAAATGTTTTTTTTTTGGTATCAAATGTACTGGATGAAAAATTTAAAGTGATCAACTATAAATCTTTTTTTTTTTTGTATATAGTATGTATGAAAAAAATCGATTCATGAGTTAAACAATACGATAGATCTCACGAAAGAAGACACTTTACCTAATTACAAGAACATTAATAGTCTACGCTCAAGTCCATCTATGCGAAGCTGACTAGCCGAAGTAGTATATAAAAATGGTTTAAGAATAATTCTCAATATTACACGATCTTATACATTGCATTAATAAAGTGTGGTAATTAAAATTATATTTGAAAATCTATATTGGTTAATTATCATAAACATTTTTAATTTAAATAGTAAAATAAGATCTTTTACAGATTTCGAAACTAGTTTAAATGTGAGTTCCTAATTCATCAAGTTATTTTAAAAAATGAGATGGTCATGAAATACGATGAATCTGTGGGAAAGGAAGAAAAATAAATAATTATTTCTTTCTTTATAACCAAAAGAAGAAAGAATATTTTAGAAGAATGATGTAAGTATGTGCCTAACAACACTAATTAGATATACTATGCCAAAAAAATTGAGAAGATTAGTTTTGGCATTCGTGCGCAAAATGATGATGAAATAAACCCCACCACCCTCGAAACTCAACCTAAGGTTTTGCACTTCTTCTCAACATCTCTCACTTTCTTAACTTTTAGATGACTCACTCATATCTCTCTATCTTCTAGAGTTTTCAATCCATTCACTACACTCGAACTTGGGAAATCGAAAAGACAATGTAACTTTTCTTTCAACCAATTGACTTAAGCTAAGCAAAAGTAATTAAAAGAGTGTTACTTGTTAGGTTAAGGTTTTATAAAGTAATCAAAGAGTATCTATTTCACAACTCATAAATGGGTTTCGTCAAAGTAAAAAAGGTAGCTACAGGTGGATTGGTCTTTAGTGTTTAACAGCCAAACTTGATTTGCTGTCATTAGTTAATTAACGATTTGGATGCTTCACATTTGCTTAATCCAACCTTACGTTGTTTCCAACACCACCTCTGATTATTAAACTAGAATAAAATATAGTTGATTATGTAGTGGTCCTTCAATGTTTTTTTTTGCTTACAAATTTAACCCAAATTTTATAAAATTATTACAAAACTTTCTTGCTATTGACTCATTGTAAGAAATTCCGAATTGACAATTTTCCGTAAATATTTTCATATGATATAAGCTTGGGTTCATCACGTATTCATGAAATTCTAAGCCATTTACTATCCTCGGATACTTTTTCTTGCATCGAAATGAAACTATCTAATTTTTATTCTTCGTTTTTTTGTCTCTTTTTACACTCATTAATTTCATTTTGTATAAAATTCGATATCTACAATTTTTGTTAAACTAAATGACCACACTTTTACCGAATGATTAGAAAATCCACTAACATACACAAAATCACAAGTTATTAAAAACAAAAACTAAATAATAATAATTGATAATTTGAACACATTTTTCGTATGCAGTAAGGCAATAATTTATCATATATTCTAGATTTCTAAATTATCTACCATCTTCAATCATTTTTGCGTGCCTTGTCTCTAATAACATTTTGTTTTTTCTTGTATCAAATAAGATTTATAATTCGTATATCATTCTAGGCGAAATAGACCTAGAAAATCAATTGATTATAACTATGGATTATATCATAAACTATTTTAAACTGAATTTCTTCCAAAGTTAGTAGAGTTTTCTAGTTCCTTCATGTCCGAACTACTTTATCATGACGATTGCTGTGGACTCAAAAGACTGAGATCGGTGATGTAACACGAAATCTACATAACGCTAGGCCGGTGATGTAAAGTGAAATTTATCCTAAGATTTGTCTAATGACTGTACCTTTATTATATAATAATAATCATGGAATTTCTAATTTTACTATGTTACCTAATGTTCTTTCATGAAAAAGTTGGTTCTTATGATAACATTATTGTTTATGTTGTTTTTATGTTTTATATATCTAACATAGCGTAACCAGATCCTGAAAAGCTCTTTTTTGTTTTCCAAAAATTAGAAGAATACGAAAATAGATTTATTTTTGTGATGAGATTTCTTTTACAAAATTATACAATAAGTATATATATTAAATACGACAATTTCTCTCACTCGGAATTATTCCGATATTTATACTCTTAGGTTTGAGGTATATATGCGAAATTAAACATAAAGAGTTTAACATTCCAACTTATGAATTATTTTGGTCAAAAATGAGTTATTTAATGTAAGAGATAACGTATCTATATCTATGATGGATTTATACTAAACACCTTTTGTGAAAGTGCGATTAGCTCGATCAACTTGTTAATAATATTGTCTGTTTTGAATTTATTCTTCGACACAATAACATAGTTATTAAAAAAAGAAGAGCAGTGACGAAAAAAGTTTCGGAAAAAGACACGTGAGGAATATGTCCTGCAAAAAATCAAACGTCTTCTCCGACGCATAAAAAGAAATAGATCAATAAATGGTTCAATTTGTGGGATAACCATAAATTATATATTAAAACATTATATCGAAATATGTTTTTTTTTTTTAATTACGAAATATGTTATTTACGAAATTTTCCTTAAGAATGCAAACCATGACTTATTTTTACGACTTTAGTCTTTTAATAATTACTAAAGTAACACTTACTTGAAACAAATTCAGTAAAAATATAAATTTATTGTTTTGTCGTAAACTTATTCCTTGTGAATCTACACTTATAATTCATTGTAATGATATAATTATTTGTTACTATAATATTTTTAGAAGTAGGGCATATTTATTCAATATTTTTATCTTTTTGACGTATATCTATTTTCGAGGTAAAATATGTTCATAAATCATTACATTCACGAAAACAAAACTTCTTTTGAAAAATGTAACTTGAGTAACTACAAAAATGAAAACTATATCCATCAATATTTTCAATTTGCGGATGTTGGACTATTATAGTGTTGGTTTAAAAACTGCCTGGT